TACAAATTACCCGGATGTATTGAGAGCGTTGTTTCGAGAGGGTTGTTTCCCTCCATGTTGGAAAGTAAGTTATGGCAGTTTTTTTGAAGAAAAAAAAAGGATTTGGTGGACATATCTAGAATAGTAATTAAGGTAAGGGGTAAATATTTCTTATTTTATTTTGTTTGTTTTATGGTAACACACAAGTTTTCCTCTGTCTTTTTTAAATGTCTTTGGTTGGTATAATCTCATGTTGGCGACCTCTGGTCTGAATTTTTTTTTTTGGCTGAAAGATTTCCTCCGGTTGATCTGGTCTGTGTTGGGACAGTTCCAGTAACATTTGATAGGCCGTTGTTGTTTTTCCATTTCCTCATATGAGGATGTGTTGGTTCTTTGGTGAAAATGAAAAATGATGGGTGTCTCATAGCTATTGTTAACACAAGCAGGATGGCAATACAAGCAGGCATTTCCTCTGTCTTTTTTAATGTCCTTGGTTGGTATAATCTCATGTTGGAGACTCCTAGGGTTGGGGATGAAGCATTACTTTGTTGTGATAACTGAGACACAGCCAATAGTAGCACCTTTTGATTTACAAAATGTATATCTCTGAAAAAGAAAATCTTCCGTCTGCTCTGTGTTGTGATAATTCCACTAAAAAAACAGTATAATTAATACATGAATTGAATAAAGCATGATTTCTAAAGCTAAATGTGACCGATAATTTTCAACAGGAATTGAAGACTTCGTTGAAAATCTTCCGTCTGGTCCGTGTTGTGATAATTCCACTAAAAAAAAAACAGTATAATTAATACATGAATTGAATAAAGCATGATTTCTAAAGCTAAATGTGACTGAAAAGTTTCAACAGGAACTGAAGACTTCGTTGAGAAGATTCCGTCTGGTCTGTGTTGTGATAATTCCACTAAAACTTGATATGCTGTTGTGGTTTTACCATTTCTTGATATGAGGATAAGCCTTAGATATTTTCCTTTTCGACATTTTCTCGTTATTTGGGATAATTGATTTGAGTGTATCGTTGATCTGGTCTGGGTTATGATAGTTCCAGTAAAACTTGGGAATATTGAAGGTGGTTATCCAGTTATCTTCTATTCTGAAAATATTTGGATTCCAAGCTTTAAATCAGGAGAGGGTCAATGTCCCTTCTGATAGATTGCCTCTAATGACCAATGTCTTAAGTCGTAATTAGTTATTGAGCAAACAAAATATGATGAGAAATATTTACCCTTTTCCCTTATTTTTCAGGAATTCGGGTTTGCAGAGCAACAGCAGCAGCAGCAGCACCAGTGATGGGTTGAATGATTAGGACCAGAGTAATAAAATGTAATTATAAATAACATAATCTTGTAGTTAATATTATACTCATTAACAAAGTAGATTTTTTAAAACAAACCAAAATGATAGATTCTGTGTCTAACATGTATCTATACAAGAAGTACACAGTAGGTACAAACGTAAGTCAAACCTATTTTTTTGCACAGGATTTTTTTTTTCCCTAAAGGTATATAAAACCAGAGCTGGAAATTTTAGGATCAGTCTTAGTGGGCACTTGGAACTTGATAGAGGTAGAAATATGGCAGAGGAAAATTCCATGAATTCACCTGCAACCTTACCAGAGACACAGGATAGTATTGAAGGAAATGAAAGAAGTTTGATATGTGATATCTTAGATCAAATGACCACTGTAATGGAGATACTTCAACAGACTATTTGTGAGTTTAAAGAAGACATGATTACTGAGATTCGTGTGTTTAGAGGAGTGATAATGAATGAGATTGGTAATCTAGAAAAGAAAATAGAGACTAGTAAGGCTCAAAAGCAGATTCCACTTAACAACAAGAGGAAACTTCCTACTACTACTACTACAACCCCAGACGGAGAAGAAACAGCCCCTGAAACTCCAGAAGAAAAAGTAAAATTATGTACATAATTTACTTTGAATAAATGGATTTTACTGTGTTATTGTTTTTGTTGGTTTTCAGAAAATAGAGAGAAAAGCTGGCTAGCTGTATTAATGACACATGACGTCACAATGGGTATACTTGAATCGCTGCCAAGTTTTTGTGTGTATTGCCTGTGTATACTGAAGAGGTACAAACGTAGATCAAACGTCTTGTTTAATACTAGATTCAAAGCACTAGCTTGACCCCCCTATCTCCTCCAAGTGTACTAACTTGACCCACCCATATCCCCCAGGGGTTAAAAATGCACTCAGTTGACCCAGCCATCCAGGATCTGGGGGGACAAAAGTGCACTCAGTTGACCCGGCCATCCAGGATCTGGGGGGACAAAAGTGCACTCAGTTGACCCGGCCCTCCAGGCTTCTTATACTACTCATGCTCTTGTTTACTGAATCGGGTATAATAAACGACATACCGTGGTGATATTGGAATATTATACATACAAAGGGGAAGTTGACGAGGGAAAAAATGAACTTTTGGTATATTTTATCATAAATTATCACAATCTAGGTACCATACACATCTTTGATACACGTTCAATTGATCTGAAAAATAAAAAGTTCTTATTTTGAAAACTGTAGGAGGAGTTATCAGGACAAAATGATGCACCCTATATGCAATACTTTGCATAAAAATGACTTAAAAACCAGAAGTTCAACAGTTTATATTTTTCTAACAAATAAAGGGGAAAAAAGATCAAATCCATGTACCATACGCAGTTCTGATATTTGTATAGTTGAATTGCAAAATAAAAAGTTCCTATCTTGAAGGACTTATCCAGATCAAATGATGTTCTCTATGTACTGAACTTTGCATAAAATGACTTAGTTGAACAGTTGCTATTTATCTCATAAACTAACAAAAATCAAAATTCAACGACCATGCACATTTCTGATATATTGATCTGCAAAACAAAAATAAAGTTCCTATGTTGAAAATTGTAGGAGGGGTTATCCGGACAAATGATGTACCCTTTTGACAGCCAAAACCCATCCACCCGCCTTTTAACCATTTAATTAACCGGAACTTTTTGTACAGAAAACCCGGTTAAACATTCCTAGGTTGATTCCCTTAATCCATTTGAACTCAAAGTAAAGGATACCAAAGATTCTGACACATCTGTAATCATATTTGGAAAACTTTTTCTAGAAAAAGATGTTAATGGTAACCTAGCAACAAAACTTTATGATAACTTCCCTTATTTATGTAGCAATATACCAATATCACCTCCATTTGGAGTTTATGTAGCAATATACCAATATCACCTCCATTTGGAGTTTATGTCTCCCAGTTGATTCAATACGCAAGAGCATACTCTATTTACGAGCAATTTCAAAATTGAGGCAAGCTATTGCCAAATAAGTTAATGAAACAAGAATATCAACAGTTTCTTTTAAAGTCTTCATTTGGAAAATTCAATGGTCGATACAATGACCTTTTCAGCAATTACAATCTATCATTAAGTCGATTGTTGACTAACTTTTTTCATACAAATTGTTAGGCCATTATTTTCACACTTAAGGGAGCCGACTGGGGTTTTATTGTGTGAAAACTACTATAGAGAAACTCTTTAATTTTATACCATATGTACCTTACATTGACTTCAGTATATATGCCAAGTTTAGTGAAAATCTACCGTCTGGTTATTTTTTAGGGACCATCTCAAAATACAGGTACATTTACTATAGGATTATATGGGAAAATGCCATTTTTTCGCACTTCGGAGCAAATTATACAAATGCTACTATAGACTTTTTGCTCAAATTATATTATTTGATGGGTAATACTATATTGTACATTTTACGAAAGAAACACAAAATTCTACCGTCTGGTTTCCAGAGGGGACATCTCAAAATGTAAAAATTCGTGATATTTTCCTGTTTTCATGGAGTATTACAAAACATGACAGATACCACAGATTTACATAAAAAGTAATAAAAATGATTGTGAGATTCTCAATTTCCTATATTTAAAATTTCAAGAGCATCTATTTAATACTTTTCATTTTATGACATAATTAATTACCTCGCTTAAAGAACCTCGGTTATTCATAACGTCAAAAACAAACTATTACGACGTCTATTTACCCATCATTTGAAAAATCGTTTAAAAAATCAGTTATTTAAAAACGTAATTAGATTTTTTAACCTGATATTTCCTAAATTTGTTAATTTTTATAAATTATGTCAAAAAAAAGTTGCTTTAAAATAGTTAATACGCTTTATTTTACTATGCTGCGCGAAGTATTGTGCAATGAAAACCCCAGTCGGCCCCCTTAATTATCTACGGATTTTTTTCCGTTTTTCCGATCATGACAAGGAGCACGCGGAGATGCTTACTCCTCCATGGCCTCTGATCCCACCGCTGATGTTTTTAGAGGTCCATTTTTGCTCCGATCCAAATTTGTATTGTTTCTTAATTATGATCTTGATTACTGTTTGTAATCTTCATATTTCGCATGTCGTCGATATATTTGAATGTCAAATTGAAGGCCACAGCAAGAGTTTCTTCTCATGTAGAGGGTTTTTAATCAATTCTGCTTCATAAGAATATAACAACAGGTCCGCTAATAAGTGTCCATCAGAATTCAAATAGATATTTTGAAAGATCTGATCTTCAAAAACTATATAGATATTGTCAATGAAGAACTCCAGTAGTTTTTTATCAACTAAAGATACCTGTGTGTAGAATTAGAATGAAGTTTGTAGATGACCAATCACAAGGTATGAAAAATATCCGAGTTCCTTATTCATTGAAGAAGCAGTATTCTATGATGTTAAATGTAATTTTTTTCAATAAAGTTATCTGTCAACGTTACAACTAGTTCGCACTCGTGGAACAAGTCTTTAATGAACACACTTTTTGTTTTCAAATGCAGCCAAGCATGCACTTAAACCGACAATGGGTGGTAAAAAAAGACCATTTAAATATTAAGTAAATTGGCTTCCTCTGTAAATGAATGCACGTAAACGTTAAATCTCGGGTTGTTGTGAAAAGAAATTTACAGATTTTTTGATTGAATTACCACATTATAATACTGAGATGCTGTCACCTGATGATGCAAGAGCGTTTACCAATAAGCTACATAGATTAAAAGGAGATCTTGATTACTTTATTGGAAGAATTGAAGCACCATACAATGATCCCTCGGAAACAGATAAAAGACGATACTGTTCCGTGATAATCGAGATGATGGAATTTGTTGTCAGAAGGATAGAACATGTAGGTAATACCGTAAATAGTTAAGCAGAAAGAAATACTGTGTATACTTAGTCAGTATTTTGAGTAAGATTGAGTAATTAGGCTTATCAATTTGATTTAGCTTCCACCGGAAATCAGTCTTCCCGAAACAAAATACAAGACTTGGGACTCGACCATGCAGAATCTCAGAAAAGAAAATGCTAATCTTAAAGAACAACTAAATGAGGAAAAAGAAAAAGTCAAGGTATTGCTTTTCTTATATTATTATATGTAGATAAGTTGAAGGAGTGTTTACCATTGTATTGTAATTTCATTATATATGTACAATGAATATAATGTATTTCTATTGTCGACTGATTCGTACGTGTTCTATATCATCCCGTTGCTTACTGCTGTAGATTACTAAATTTTTGCGGCACCTTGTTTTCGCGAGATTGCTGTTTGGTATTTATAATCGAACGAAATTTTCACGCATTTTGGTTATTGCTCTACATAATCGTTAATAATAGAATTATACGCGAGAATGAAATTTTCGCGAGCAGACGGTCTCGCGTAATTACGCAAAATTAAAGTTTTCGCCAAAAAAGTGATTTACAGTATACAAAAATGCAAGAAGGTAGGAAAATTAATATGCTTTGCAGTTCTTAGCATTTACATTTTATAACAGGGGGCCAATGGGTCACAGTGTGAACCTAAGATATTTATCTTCATGATAATTGATCCATTGAGGCTGTAAATATAACTATGCATGTTTTTTAATATTTCTAATCTACAGTTTACTGGTTGATATGAAAATAACTAATCGTACACCTATTGCTACTTTGAAAGTCTATACATGTGTTTTTTCTCATGTTACTTGTTCACCTATTGCGATCCTCTCTGTAGTGGTTATGACTTGCAACACAACACGAGGATGACTGTAAATCCACATAAGAGGCTTTAAGTTTATTTTTTCTCTAAAACAAAAATTAAAAATAAAATTTACCATATATATTCTGTTATTAAAGTTTAAAACTCCTTTCAGTGTTAAAAAAAATCTGATCTCTTTATTAAAACTATTCATATTTTGTTTCTATTTCTTTGACCATTTGCAGTTTATGAAGTTTTGTACGCTTTTTTGTAATGTTCTATTTTCTACATAAATGATCATGATCTTTGAATCGTTTAGCCTGTATTTGTTGCTACGTCGTTGCTAATACCAGAACGTGAACATTTTTTAAAGATTTTCACAGAATGGGAATGCCTGGGTATGTGTTTCACGGGCTGAAGCGTTGCTATTCTGTAGAAGACCATTTTAAGAGATTTTACAATAATTTCTATGTAAAATTATGTCCGTTATTGGTTGCCCATAGTCAGCGCGTTTCGGGGTGTTAATTATTTGTTATAATCGTACTTAACCTCTCCCACGGGGGATAAAGGGAACATTGAAACAAAATGACGATATTTTCATATTAGTTTGACGAGTTGTGTCCCTGCTATTCTCAAGATGAAGATTTTGAAAGATTTCTATTTTGCAAAACGTTGCCCTTTTATTGTATAGTCTCACCCAAGCTTCGGACAAATGATCGTAGCAAACACTACAAAAAGATGTACATGTATTGAATAGTATAAGAAAATGTTCCCTACCGTACTTAATAAAAGATGTTTGAAGATTTGATGTTTTTATTCCAAAAATTAAAATTTTACTGCCAACCCACACAAACCCTGGGACCAATAACTTGCAAAACTGAAAACATGCTGTATAAGTAAAATTACCTATAAATTTGCTTACATCTTTGGAGGATTTGAAAATAATTTACCCTACTTCACCATATAATCTATATTAGCCGCTAAGAAAAAAACATAACCTTTCAAAATCCTTTAAAAGAGAGTTGAATCACCTTCAACCAAAAAAATATTTAGTGCAAAGTTTGGTTGAATACGACCCACTAGTTCTGAAAAAAGGGTAAACAAAAATAAAATGATAGGCAACCAAAGACAGACCTTTGCTCTGAAGGGCTCAATGCACCTTTTAGTCATGTGGGCTAAAATGATAGCACATTCTTCTAACTTGGGAATAATTCAAATTTCTGCATTTTTCACAGAGACTGCGGCAAAGTCGATTGGCTGAAGAACATTCCTCAAAAATTGATGAATTAAAATCGAAAATTAACAGGCTGCAAAAAGACCTTGACAAAGAAAAATCCAACTCTCAAAGAACAGTTACACCATTTGGAAACCACAGAAACATGAAGAGAGTGGGTACATCCCGTGAAGATTTAGAGGTAGATAACATAGAAGGGTGTGACGTACAGACAAATACCAAGGAGCGCCAAGTCGAACTCGAAGCAGAAAATGGAATACTAAAAAATCAGATTCAAGAATTGAAACATTTCTCTCAAAATCTGGAAACTGAGAGAAAAGCACTTCTGGATAGGTACATGTGAAGTTGATACTAATCGCACAATCTAATTTGTATCAAAGACGAAGAAATATTCTTAAAAGACAAAATATTAAAGAACCTCTAGTGCAGAGCTTAAAAGAGGCTGAAGTGGTTTCTGAAAAGTATCACCACTTTCAATGAACATTTACAAGTATTCATGTACCATGATAAGAGTAAAATTTAAGCTAGTCTTATTTTTTTTTCAGGTTGAGTGAGCTCTCTACTATTAAGCCTGTAATTAAAGACACACCCAAAGAATCTCGTCAGAAGGAGTCTGAAACATCCTCATCAGTATCGAGGCGCTACACAGACCTTTTCTCCAAAGACTGGTCTTCAGCCTATAGAGTTCTGATGACCGTATTGAAAACTGATCGGAAAGTAGTATATCTACTGCTACAGTGTCTTACAGTAAGAAATTTTTCAAAAAATGTTCAGATCTTTTTAAAATGAATATAATTTCTCATGAATAAATGTGTATAGAAAGAAAAACATAGAATTCTTGCAAAACATCACAGCTCAAACATGTGGCATTGAAATAGCTTATAACTAGAGGGTATGTATTACCCTTGACCCTGAGGGACATAAAACATCTAAAACAAGGATTGAAAGTCGCTTAAAAACTCTTTCCTACTTTATATATGCTGAAGAAACACTAGAACTAGACTGGCATAAAACAACTTATTATTTGAATATACTCAAGGTCACAAGAATTATAAGGGTTTAATTTATGTCTGGTCCAGAAATTTTTAGTAAAGAAATTTGTCATGTTTTACTAGTTGATTTTGTTTCAAAATTTGTTCGCAAAGTAGCATGTATTTTAAGGTATACTTCTTTTTCTAGAATGCATTTAACATATGCAAAAACAAAGCCGACCAGCAGCGTCGAAAGCTTCATGAGGAGAACCTAACAGAAGGACTACTAGACCCCAACCTTATCAAGGACACGCCAAGGCAGATTATAGAAATGCAAATGAAAAACGCTCCAGAAACGCTGCCAGAAATTACACAGGTTCGATTATGTTAGAATATTTATATATTCGAATTGCAGCAGAATTTTAAACGTTTTGAACTTATTTTTTTTTAACCACAGATATGTCGAGACAGAATATCTAAACTAAGTTCATATCCACCGGAAGTGACTCAGTATGTTGACAGCTGTGCAGAAATCTGTTGGTTTATGGTTATACAAAATCCTCCATTTTCTCTGTCTTGGGAAGCGCCCCCTGGCGAGATGGTTGACACATCGAAGTATAATTTCTACAGGACTAGCGGGAGATACGTTGATTTTGTAGTCTGGCCAGTGCTTTATGACCAAAACGGCAGCACTGTGATCGCGAAAGGAGTGGTGCAGGGACGAAATTGATGCTTAAACATTTTCTTCTCGCTTTGATTTGATAGCTTCATCTATCTCAGTCAACACAATTCTATATGACGACTAGGTCTTTCTTCAAAGCACTATTTATTGCGAGTCTTTTAAAGAAGTGAGGTACAAATGAGAGTTGAAAAATTTATAACAATAAAGCAAGGAATATTGAATGATTTAACTCATCAGGATGTTTTATTTTCTTACTTATCCCAGAGATATAGATGTTATAAATGTTGGCTATGTTTCTGCTTATCCAAGATATCAGTTTTGCTTAAAAATGTGGTAAAGAAAATTGCTGTAAAAGTATCTTTATACTCACAGCTTGGTAATCATCTTGAGAGAGAAATTCTCATTATAATGAAAAGGGATTTTTTTTTCAAGTTTTACTTGAATAAATTCTGATATACGTATAAACATGTACATGTTAGTTTTATGCTACTAATATGCCCATGCAGTTGGAAAAGCGTTTGTTATGAAATGTATAACAAGATGAGAATTGTTTTGCAATTTTACCAAAAACCAAATGTTGTATAATATAAAATTTTAAAATGTGAAATAAACAGGGGTGACTACCTCTTAGAATATAGTAAATCTGTGTCAGAAAAGTCTGGATGAGCATGAAAGAAAGTCAAATGACGAGCATTTATGTACTTTCAGTGTGCATTGTATTTCTTTATGAATGCAATGAAATTCGTGTTGAAATAGATACTAAAAGATTATTTCCGAAATCTTGAAGGGTTATAATTACATTTTCAAATTCTCTTTAGATTTTAAAAATTACCTTTACATGTCGATAAAACAAAAGTTCTGTTAAATATCGAGTTTCTAATACTGTGTATTTATTATTCCTTTCGAAATAAATGAAGCGCTTCGTCAGGTCTTTTATCTCAATATTGCAACGAAGAACTGTGTCAAAATAGTAACCACTTTGAAATCTAGAAGATTGGGCGTAATGAAGAATGCGGTTCCACTCAAAAGGAATAGGATGAGGACTTACTTATTATTAGTTGCTTTAATCGTTTTTTCCATCGATAATGGTAAATTTTTGTGATTTTTTTAAATCTTCAAAAATAATTTATCTTGCAAAATAACATTTTTTCAACTACAGATTTTTAAACACTTTATACTAGATATCTTTTAGAATTCAGTTTTTTATAGATATAAAGAAAATATTATCTTTCAGGAGACGGTACATGTACCTTTCCGTTCACCGGAACTTGGCATAGCAGTAACTATGGCAGCATGGTATTTTCCGGTTTAGGTCTCTACCTTTCCGGTTTCACGTTTGACCGGACATCAATCGTCGGCAGCGGCTGGGAGTGCTTCTCCAATACCGGGACCACATACGTCGCGAAGTAACTTTGATGACTACACATAATGCAACATAAATTTGTGTCGAAGTAAACATTACCCGCGGGGGGGGGGGGGGAGGGGGGGTTGTTCAACCATTTTAGTATATTAATTTTTTTTATTTTCAGAACTAATATGACAATTACTCTGAATAATGGCGGGGCAGCTCACTATGCATACACCTGTTTTGTATTTACCTCGGTGAATACATATTCATATTACTATCGTCAAAATACTCGTAAGTAACTCTTAGAATTGTATAAACTACTTGAGCCATTATACATGTACTACGTACATGTAAAGAAATATGACTAATATTCTAAACCCAAATATCAATTTTAGCTGTAGAGAGTTTGCTGAAGAATGAGAGAATAGTGGCGTATACAACAGGAGCAACTGTCACTTCCGGTGACGTCTGCAGCAGTACGCCATCAGATGCAGAGTTTAATGTAATGGTGCAAAGTGGTATGTCAAGAATGATGGTTTTAGTATAACAACGACTCTTAAGAACACACAGTTATCTTGTATCCATACTTGGAATGTCTGTAAGTTAATCATATTTCATGATAACACCTTTGACGATGGTTTCAGGACAAGAGGCAAACGCCAAAACTAACATTGGTGAGGTGATGTTCGCTAACTTCCACTATAAGTACAATAACGGTGTGTCAGATAAGTGTGGGACAGGGACCACAGAAAGCATGCTGACCATCTGCACGGACAGACAGACGCTGACCTTTGATTACACCGTCTGTAGCGACAACATGATGTACTCCAGTAAGTTCAATCGTTATTTTTAGTTCTTCAAACATTTGCCTCTTCGTTTACTAAACATCATAGTCGTTAAATAAAGCAAAATGTTAATTTGCTGCAATTTCAACTGTCAGAGACACAAAAACCTAAAACAAATCATCTGTATTTTGAATATTCAACCCAAATGTGTCAACTTCGATAGTTGTTGAATTAAAATCAATCGTTTGTACTTTACTTTAATAATTAATATAATTTAAAAAAAAAAATGAATTTTCATTTGACTTAGGTGGAGGTGTACTAGGAGCAGTGGCTACCATAGAATCAGGCTCCACATACTACACCTCTGTGTACAACTATGACAATACAGTTGACGGCGTCAACACGTTCAGATTTACCTGCATTGTATGATAATTCAGTTTTGATTTGACAAAACTATCAACCCTGTCAACTTGATTATTTTGCAAGTTTTATATAAACTCTTTACTTTAGAATTTTTGTTTTAAATAAAGTGAAATAAGGTACTTGTAATTATTCTTGAAACCCATGGCCTGCCTACATTCATGTCATCTTTATCTTTCTAATATTTCACCCTTTCTATAGACATTTCTGTGGAAATTACATCATGTTTATTAGGATTTTTTAAATTTTGGTTCAGGCAGCAGCCACTTCCGGGACTCAGGTGAGTGCCACCATTAACCCTAAATCCTGTATAGCCAATCAGAGTCCTACATCTCGACCTACGAGCGGAGGGATATTTACTCTTGTGGCAAACAGTAAGAATGTTTGGTTGTAAAATTTCTGAAATAGTTAAATATTTATTAATTTTGTTTTGAAGATTAACTCAATTTTTGCTTTATTTATTTAGCTACGTGTGGTAAGTAATCACACCTGCATTTTGTATACAATGTTTAGAATGCCACTTGAAGTCTTTATGGCACTAGTCTGGAGACGGAAAATACCGAAGCAATATTTCTGTATGTTCTAAATAAATAAATGTTTTATAAAATTTTTTGTAAAAGAAGAAAAATCGCTTACTGTAATTTTCCCGTAAAATTTTTCAATTACTTCATAAATATATTAGTTTGTTTTGTAGAGTTTTCCTTGCACAATTCTAGTAAAGCGCAATTAATACAAGCGAATGGGATTGTTTATTTGTTGTGTCAATGTGTGTACATGTGTTTGTATGGTTTTAGTTGGTTTTTGATGTTTTTGCAAAGTTGTAGCTTTTTGAAGTCAAGTAGGAGGTCTCTTTACAACAACAAAAAATTCTAATTACATTCACATTTCTTTGGTAATATTATTTAAGGCAACAACATCTTGGATTTTTAAACCATCCTGTTATTGGGTTATCAGAATTTTGAATAAGTAATGGAGAAGTTTGACCTTCTACAAAAGTCTTCAAAAGATAACTACATTGTAATTTTATCGAACAAAATTTTATCTGAACAATCCCTTTCTTAAATAACGACATATTCAAAACGTAAGTTAAAAATCAAGGATAAAAAAGTACAGTTGAATTTTAAAGGGGTTGGGGGGGGGGGGGGGAGAGAGAGACTTGGAACCTATTTTTGATTTTTAAAATCGATTTTAAAAGTTGTGAAAAGTTCAAGATGGCTGCGCGCCTATTTCCGGACCTCCTATTTTGATTTCAGAGATAACTACTACTACCACCACAACAACCACTACAACCACCACCACCACCACCACTACTCCTACCACCACAACCACCATAACTACCACCACCACCCAAGCCACCACCGCTAACTTGACATCCACGCTTTCCAACATTCCAGCTCTCACCGCTACTGTCGATAACGTCGATGTCGCAGGAATCATTGGAGGAATCGTCGGGGGTGTTCTCTTCATTGTCATCGTCCTTATCGTCATCCTCTTGTGTATTCGTCATCACAAGATAAAGCGAGCTAAGCAAGAGGTTATAGATCGACGAATGAGGGTGTGGAAAATCAGAAGCAATGAAGACGGTAGTAAACATTTTCCTCCAAACGATTTCAAACTAACAACTGTACTTGATTTTGCAAATACATTCTGCTGCCTATTTCAGATTTCTATGCAGACGATGTTCCTTTAAATGAAACTTCTATGAATCTGGATTGTACCAAATCAATTTACCCTGAAGCGTCATCGTCGAGGACAACAAAAGTATTGCAGAAGAAACAAAAAGGTCTAGATTCAAGTACGTATGATAACCCTCTTGTGTGACTTTCAAATAGCAATGAAAAACTGTTATGTTTGTATATTGAATTAATGCTTTTCAAATTAACTTTCTATAGTTTGTATTCATATAAACTACATGACATTGTGTATATTGACTTAGCCTATTTTAATCTGAGTGATGTTGTTAAAGGTTCCTATATTATACAAGATGGTGATTTGGAAGATGAAATTAGGAATCCAATTGGTGAAAAATCCTTTCAAGTTGAGACGCATAGAAATAAAGAAAAGATTACAAAAGGTTTACCATTTTCAAGACCGCGTACTGAACACATGCCATGGAGAACTGGGAAACGCGCTGAAAAGAAGGGCTATTCCTCTGAAAGGGGGTATCCATCCATGTCCAAATTCGGTTCAGTAAGCACCAGGAGCTACACAACACTAAAAACAATGCCAGGTGATTCTTCATCCGGATTTGGATCCATGTATGACAAAGACAGCATATACACTAGATCTGGAACGAATCTCAGTCGAGGTCTTACCGTTGCAGGTAGCCAGTTTAAATCAGACTCCAACATTTATGCCAAAGCCAAATCTCTCACAGAAAGAAGTATGGCAAGGGAACTGACGGCGATAAAAGAAACGCCTCTCAAGGAAACACCAAATTACATGAAGCCAACAAGATCCAGAACCGCGATGTCTATCTACAAGGAACGTGCCAAATCTCAACACAGTACATTCCACAATGATGAGACGAAGTCTCGTGTTTCGAAGTCTCGTGTTTCAAGAATGTGTGATAATGAATCTCAAATATCTCGAAGGAAAGATACCCAATCGCGAATAACGAAAGTAAGCCCCAAGACTCTTTCACCAAAAGAAAGAGTCATGGCGCGAGCAAAGTCGAAAATGATCATTAAAGAAAAAACTAAAACATGGAGAATTACGGAAAAGCATATGCCAAACCCTAAACCTGTGGATGAGAAATCATTTGTCGATTCGCTACGGGACAATCCCCCTTCTATTACAAAGAAGAAGAAAAAACCAAAGAAAGTGATTGTGAAGAAACTAAAAACGCCGTACGGTGTTGTGCTTATTGACTCCTCTCAAAAAAGAACGGTTTCTATGATGTCCCTAAACCAACTAGCTGGTCTCGTCAAGAAACGAAAAACACCTTCTCGTTCCCAAGTGGATATAGTATATAAAGAGAAGGCAAGAGAAACGACGGTTGTGAAAGATTCTATAAAAGGAAATGGTAATTACATTACTTTATACCTTTACTCAAAGCATTTAAAAATAGTTTAAACAAGTAAAACCCTTATCGGTAATTACTGGAGGTCATTTTCTTTCACATTCCTTGCATCCTATAATCAAAATTAACTTTTAAACAGATGTAAAAAGTGAAACTAGTTCCCAGAAAGGAGGAAGAGAGTTTATGGAGTCGGAGCACACGTGGATGGTCTACGAACAAAAGACGGGGCAACCACCAGAAGTTGAACCTACGACCAATACCGATAGAAAAACGGACAAAGTGGACACTAAATCTAACAGAGTGGGATCTGATGGTCAGTAAACAGAATAGGACCGCTAATCAGCTACATGTGAATGCTTTTGTAAACATTCCCCTGTTCTGTATAATTCAAATGTTTAGCTTTTCATTACCTTCTACCCTCATCTTGGGAGCCGTGATTGGTTGATGGGATTTTTAAACGGAAGATAGTTCCCTCCAATTTTTACAATATTATATATGGTTTGATTGTAATAGATTTCCAGATAATGCAACGATTTCTCTCATTGCTAGATTCTGGATTTTCTGACAACAACACACCACCAGTGGACGCACACCACCAGTCCAGCCACGGAGAGCCAGTCGACCCAAAACACGAGTCTGAAGAATTGGAACTTATCAACATCCTTCCCCCAACTAGACCGCCCAAGTTCTTCAAAAATATCGCAGACCGCGCAAAAACTGCAAAATCCAGAAAACCCTCGTGGAAATGACGAGCAATATTAATTAGTCATCATTTAATATATTTAACAGAATTCATTTATTGCTGATAATGTGTCTTTAATCGATTTCTATGTTGGAATGAAACACATTACTCGACGCATGCTGAATACCATATTTGCCTTATTTACGTGCGTTTTGATTACTATATTCATATGATGTGAACATCAATATATTTCGTCAATCTTTACCTGATTTTGATAAAGTTTTTTTTTAATAATTTCTAACTTATTATAACTTTTACTTTTCAATTTTTATCCAAAGGCCGAGTATGTAATGCTTCAATTATTGAAACAATAGATATTTAAATCTGATATTCAATCTGTGTTTAATGCACCAAAGGACATCATTTGTTAATCACTGAACTCAAAATAAAAGAAAGAAAGGAATGCACTTACTTTGCTATTTAGTCTCTTTCAATAGACATTTGCCATTTACAACAAATCAAGCAGAAAAAATACTGATTTTATTGTGCAAAGATCAATACAGAAAAAAAATCAAAAAACTAGCAAACAATGATATACAAGGAGTAAAAGATAATTTAAAAAACATGTGTGTCTATACATATACACACTACTTAACGATTCATCAAAATGGATCCACACAAAAGTATGATGTAAAAATGAAAATCTTAATTAAATAAAATATACAACAGGACGGATGTAAAACTACTGAGATACGATTGTAAATATAAAATTTTATGAAAAAAAAACTTTCGATAATTTAACATTGTTTCATTTAACTGAGCGTTTTTTTTTCTTAATAATGCAGTAAAATCAACAAAACACATGTAACATAAAGAGTTGATAATATATACTTCCAAAACAGGAAATATGTACATAATACCAAGTGCTCAGTGGATATTATTTCAAATCATTATCATTTCTTTCACAACTCTTTAAGAATCACCAAGTTCAGCCTTGCAAAAATTAACAATAAATACAGCAAAAATCTCAATCATCACAGTTTGAAAGCTTATTAATCAAAGTTATCTCTCAAGAAGCCCCGAGAACTCACCGACTTAAAGATAGAGGTGTCTCTACAATGTTGAACTTTTTTCCATATAAGAACGACATACCATTCAATGACTAGATAATGTAAAATGAGTCTTATTTATTCATAAAGCCATATTGAGTCATTCACCACAGTGTCAAACTGTGCTTGATAAACGATCACAGCAATTATATATATGTGTATAACTATAAATACTGTGTATATAGCTGAGAATGAAAACTAATGTATGATGATCTAAGATTTCAAACTCGATGTCTTTTGATTTCCTTAACTACATAATTCAACACAGTTCATCAAAATAAAATAAAATATAAATGGAATTGTATGTCTTGATGAACCCTACTTCTGGACAAAGAAACTTGATAAAAACTGTAGAAGGATTTGCACTTCGAAACACTGTCTACAGACAAACAGACATACCTGTCCAAAAATGGACACTTTACCATCACATAATCTCATGTTTTGGACCAATAGAGCTAAACGTCAATGATTCATGAAAATCAAAACGAAAATTTATAAAGCCACATAAAATTAATCCCCTAGTCCTCAAGGCACTTGTAAACCAAAAGGGAGTCTTTCCCCCTTAGAATGACTGAGGAAGAAGAGACAGGCAACTGAACAGTGACTGCCGATGAAGAGGAGACAGGTAACTGAACAGTGACTGCTGAGGAAGAGGAGACAGGCAACTGAACAGTGACTGCTGAGGAAGGTGTGACTGAGAACAGAACAGTTAAAGGGTGACCACAGTTATAGTGGAGATTGACTGTTGAGGTGCATTACCTAGTGATGAAGCATTGGCTGGATTTGCCATGTTATGCTGAAAATGCATTAGAAGTTTACCTTGGATATTTTGACCTTTGCCATAGTAATGAGTGCCCAAGAATGAACATGCAACATGGTGTACCAGTAACTTGGTTTTTTCGTGTTGAGGAGGTAATTTTAAACTCAGCACATTGATTAAATTTAATGACCAAAACTTGAAGCATGACATTTTGTTTGACTGAAAGCCAAAGAAAACCTGTATCAACAAGGTCTTGAATTTATTGGAACTTCACAAAGCCACTTTGTCACATAGTGATCTAAGTGCTTGAAAGCTTCAATGCATTGGTGCATAGAAGTCTAAAATGAAAGAAAAGAATGAGATGCATCCTTTGTGGTTGTGTGCTATAACAGAGGAAGTGTATGGAGAGAAAGAATTAGATGAACCAGACTAAGATAAGTGTGAAAGGAACCTGACTCTGAGACTGCCAAAAGCTGAACTTGGAAATTTCTGAAATGATGATTAAAAGGTCAATAGTGAATAATGGGAGATTGAGTGAGAAAGAGAGAGAGGATATAAGCATTTATTTGGTGGGCAAAGTGAAGGAGGAAATGAGATTGGAGTTTTTTCTCCCAGCTGATTGATTTATGCATTACTTTCATTACAAACTGAAAATAAAAAAAAAATTGCAATAGGACTACCTCAAAACAAATGCACATGGACCTGAGGACCCTTGTTTTAATTTTATGTGGCTTAAATCTCTTGGTAAAGATTCATATGTACATGTTTATACATGTACATCACATTACGGTGTGAGGTCAAGGCTTTATGACTGTTTACCTCACACAGACTTGTAAAAACATTAACATATATATTAGTTTGTGCAAGGGATGAATCACAAAAATTTGTCATTATGAATGTGAAGTATTAATTCGATAGGAAAAAAAAGAATGTGGAACATTGGCGTGGTGGAAATCAGTATTCTTTTGGAATGGAATGTTGGCAAAGTGGAAATCTTAGAAGGAAATGTTGATTTAGTTTATATACTGGAATTTTGTAAATCAATAATTCCATAATTAATGATTCAATTTCATTATTTTTAACAATTATATTTTTAAAAAAATAATAATTCTAAAAAAAGTAGTTCAATGTATAATAAAACATATCTACCCTAGAAAATATTGAAATGCAGAGTTTTCTGTATGTATAAAAGTTTAAGCACTATTTCTTCATTCATCAAATTTATACATTCAACATTACATTCTGCAATCCTTCCTTGTGTGCTGTGAATGCCCTAAGTTTTCTCTTTTTAACTTGGTTTCATATCATGTCGACATATTGGACAGTTTGCATTTCTCTGTAAAAGATTCAACCAACAGTGATATTTTACAGTCCAGATGAGTGCAAGTCAAGCTGTCTACATAGAAAATTTTGATTGCTAAACCCTCAAGTAGGAACGCAAATACATGTATGATGAACATTTCTAAAAATTTTCATTAATTAGAAACACTACACAAATATTGACTGGGGTTAAGGGCAATATTGATTATGTTAGCCTCCAAGGGATGAAATATTGCCCGACACAGAGCAATCAACAATTTTGATGTTTGTCAAGCAAAGGTTTCTTTGAATGGTCAGTATCTTCATTTTTCCAGTTTTACCCTTGACCTTTGACATTGTGACCTCAAAACTAAAAGGGCCATCTACTCCTTAAGGGCAACCAATGTACTAAGTTTAATGTCTCTCAAGCAAAGGATTCTCAAGATATTGAGGGGACTGGATCTCCCTATGTCTAGAGTAGTTTGACTCTTGACTTTTGACCAGTGTACAAAGTTTGATGATTGTCAAGCAAATGGTTCTTATGATATTAAGGGTACAAGATCTTCCTATGTCTAGATCAGTTTGACTCATGACCTTTTTTGACCTTGTGACCTCAAACTCAACAGAGGTCATCTTCCCTTCAGGGGGTACCAGTGCACCAAATTTGATGTCTGTCAAGCAAAGGGTTCTCAAGATATTGAGCAGACAACACTTAGTCTATCAACCATCTCACTGACAGGTACATGTATAAATATGCTCCCTTTTTAAAAAGGGGGGGGGGGGGGGGAGTTAATAAGTAGTAAAATTCAAAATCTGTTTCCATTTTTTTTCTGGCATATGACATTAACAAATTTCATTTTTTTTTAAACAAAATAATTACCTTCAGCCATTCTTTGACACAAGCAGCATGGTAGTCATGTTTACATGGTAAAGTGCAGAGTTTATCCCCACTTTTGTATGAAGATAGACACACACGACACCCAGGGCCCTCGTGATCCTCAGTGTAGATTTGTGTTTTAGAGGTGTACGTCTTCACAGGAAGGGCCTTAATTTCCTTCTCCTCCATCCCCCGATTTTTCACTTCACCAATTCTTTCAGCCAGTTCCCACAGAGACTATCAAAATTATAAATTCTTTTTTCCAATATACTATTTTGAAATATTGCCAGCAATAATTTAGATGGATTGAAAGATATAATGGTTTAAAATGACAGGTGAATAACGAGTAGAATAATGAGTAGAAAATTTTAGTCACTTTTACAAACTTAGTATTCTTTCTTAGTATGCTTTTCAAATAAATTACATACTTCATAATCATTTGGATCCACATCATCTGGAACAAGTAGTTCTGGTCTACGCCCCATCAAAAACAAAATCAACAACATAGGATCTCTCTACAGAAAAATTTAACATCTTTGCAAAATGCACCTTAAAGCAGGATGTGTATTTGTATTAATTTTTTAAATCTATCATCTTTGACTGTAGTACCAAGTCAAATTTTTTACTAAAATGGGTGAAATCTGGTGATTATCAAAGTTTTATTTTCAACAAATTCATACATTTCATTTCCAATGAAACTTAAAGAATTCTCTTACCATTATATGAATAAACCGATCCTCAGCATTAGAGTTGCTCTGCCTTCCATTCAACAGCATTATCTCTGGTTCTGTTTCTCCTCTGGGGAGTTCTGGACGGTTCAGTGCCATAGACAATGGTGGAGCTTTAACGACAAAATTTTTTTATTATGATTAAACATAGCTGGAGAGTGAACTATTTTTCTCATCTTGATAATGTATTAATTAATTATCACCAGGACTGTCATGGATAGGTTCAATAAATTGTCAAAGTAAAATGCTTTGATTCAATTCATTTTTTTTAAAGAATTGCGGGTATTTTATTATTGAACTAAAACTGTGAATAATTAGCTGGGAAGGTAGAGAATATAGTCAAATTTGCAATAGGAGCAAATTATCCTGAAGAGCATTTAATAGCTTGGTAAATATTTGACACATTGATAAATCAATAGTTTTTCAGAGTTTATATTATCAAATCCTGTTAATGACAACACATCATTCAGAAAATCATAAACAATGCCGAATTACACACCACTAGCTTCCATTGTTTGAGGTACACATGAGGGGAATGTCTTATTACATACTACTAGCTTCCATTGTTTAAAGTTCACTTGAGGGAAATTCCCTATTACATACCACTAGCTTTCATTGTTTGAGGTACACCCGAGGGGAATGTCTTACCACATACCACTAGGTTCTATTGTTGGAGGTACTCCTGAGGGGAATGTCTTATTACATACCACTAGCTTCCAGTATTTGAGGTACACCTATTGAGAAGGTCTTACTATATATCACTAGCTTCCATTGTTTAAGGTTCACTTGAGGGAAATGCCCTATTACATACCACTAGCTTTCATTGTTTGAGATACACGTGAGGGGAATGTATTACTACATACCACTAGCTTCTATTGTTTGAGATACACCTGAGGGGAATGTCCCCCTATTACATATCACTAGCTTTCATTGTTTGAGGTACTCCTAAGGGGAATGTCTTACTACATACCACTAGCTTCCATTGTTTGAGATACACCTGAGGGAAATGTCTTATTACATACTACTAGCTTTCATTGTTTGAGGTACTCCTGAAAAGAATGTCCTATTACATACCACTAGCTTTCATTGTTTGAGGTACTCCTGAGAAGAATGTCCTATTACATACCACTAGCTTCCATTGTTTGAGATACACCTGAGGGAAATGTCTTATTACATACCACTAGCTTCCATTGTTTGAGATACACCTGAGGGAAATGTCTTATTACATACTACTAGCTTCCATTGTTTGAGATACACCTGAGGGAAATGTCTTATTACATACTACTAGCTTCCATTGTTTGAGGTACACCTGAGGAAATGTCCTATTATACATACTACTAACTTCCATTGTTTTAGATACTCCTGAGAAGAATGTCCTATTACATACCACTAGCTTCCATTGTTTGAGGTACTCCTGAGGGGGTGTCCGAGGCATCCCTCCTCGTCACTGTTATTCTGCCTGTACCTCTCCCTCTCCTTGGGGCTCTGCCTCGGCTTCTCCCTCGTGTTCCCCCTTTAAAGTACATGTACTTATAAGGAAATATTATCACCTATTGGATTGGCTAGAGGGTTCAACCTCTTGTCAGAGATATTTAAAATTAACATCCAAAATTGCAAAATATGTGACTATTTCACAACAAGTATTGGAGAGATCTGAGATAAGATGTATATCAATTATGGTCCCTTGTCAGCTAATAATTTTTTTTAAAAATAAGTGTACAGACTTAAAAGCAATGGACTGATATACAGATAGTAGGCATGTTTTGTTGGATTCCCTTTACTTCAAAGCATAACAATGAAAAAAATATTCCACTTTAATCTATTTCAGTCATTTTTCATTTTTAATTGCATGTACTTTAGGTGATTTGCAACTATGACAAAACTTTCATCAGGAGAGTGTGATCACATCCCATTTAAAAAATAATCTCAAAAAATATTATTTTGGAAATAAAATAAATTCATTATTGATCTGTTTAAATTAATGCTGCTAGATAGTTTTACTTAATTTAGGAAAAAAGACTTCCAGAATGCACCAGAACTCACAAGTAAATTGGTACCCATTTACAAAAAATTTTGGCCTTAGGAGAAAAATTTTGGCCTTAGGAGATGGAGTATTCTTTCTTAACCTTTCTCTACACCCCCCTTTCCAGAAATCTGGTGACAGCTTTATAAAATGTGTGCACTATAAAATGAAAAAAAAATCATATTAATATATGTTATATTTTCATTTTCTCAGAATTACCTCTTCGAGTGGAAGCCACAGAGGGGGCAGGTGTGACAACCACATCAGTTTCTGTTGGTCTAATGCCATGAACAGATCTCCTGGCGTTTGCTGTCCCCCTCCCTCCTCTCCCTCTCTGACCACGGGTGGCTGGTACTACAGGGGAGGCATTAGGGGAGTTTTCCTCTACCGTGGTATCTGTGTCAGAGTCAGAATCATCTTCTTCCTCACTCTCCTTGTATTCAACAATAGAAATTATAAACTTAATATTTTATTTTAAAATCATAAATCAAAGCAATGAATTTAGAATTTTCAAAATTGATCAAAACTTAAGTATTATTTATTAAATTTACAGTCATGGGGTAATTTTAAGTTTCTAGAAGCAATAAAAACTAAAAAGGTCTCAAATTTAAAACAGCTAGAACTTAATATTAATTGATATATTATTAATATTAAAGCTATTAAATGATCTTTTTAAAAAGAGACCATATGTCTGTTTTTCGTGAAAGAACACTTACTGACAAAGCATTTGTCTGATTCTGTCTTTGGCTACCCCTGCTTGCATGGACAACTAAATCTGCAAACAGTTGTGTTATGGGGGTCATGGATCGGAGAGGGGGTGCTGGAGGAGGGTGTGCCTCCTCCCCCCTCAGCCTCATCACAGGTCCCGGCATAATGTTTATGTGTCTATGCATTCTTCTAGCTAATTGTTCATCTTCCTGAAAGAAAAGTATTAATTTCAGCTACATGTATAACTTTTCTTTGTACGTTTATCAATATAAACCTTATGTACAAGGTCAGCAATATTTTTTTTACTTGAGATATTTTGAAGTGATTTTTATGTGTATATTTACACTATAATAATACAATGACATAAGAACCATCTCTTAATAGCACATAAATACAGTAACTGTTTCATATTCCCTCTGATTTGAGAGTCAGGAGATTAAATACATCATTACAAACCTCTAAAGCTGCTGCATTCTCTTCTTCTTGTAGCCGTCTGGCGTAATCTTCGTCCTTGGACACACTGACTGGTCTTGGTGCTCGATTACTCGGGCCTTGTCCACTAGCCATGGCGCAATAAAATTCCTTCTGTCATTTCTGTTCATAGAGAATAGAATTCAATAAAATATGATGGAAAATAATTATAACCTGATAACCATATGTTACGTACATGTGATTTAATGATGTCAAATCTCGAAGTAATTATGACATCGCGGGTTGTTTTATTGACTTCACTTTAAACACTTAACATGCTTGATACTGAGAGAAGAAATTAATAATAATTCTGGTAAAATAACATAACACTTGGCACTGTTTAATAGAGGTAATTCGAGATTCTTTTTAAATGCGCTTGCTTTTGACACTATTTGTTTATCAAAGAATCGAACTAATCTGATTTTATAACAAATCAATTATGTACATTACCAATATTTTGTTACATAACCAACGTGGTAAATTTCGTTCTTTGGAATCTCTACAGGTGACATACAGCCATTTCTCAAAGGGGGGTAAATCTCCAATGTAAACACGTTTGTAGCTCCGGAAGTGGTATAATGTGCATTGGCGGGAGTTTTAAAATATATTTCTCGGATCATTTTGTCATCAGTATGACCGTACAGTATAGAACAATAAAACATGTAAAATAAAAATTGAATGTAAGAGGAAATATAGAAAATAGCTTTTTGCATTTTTTTTGGTCCCCAAGGTGTAAGGGAAAATTCCATTTGTGCAAATCTAAAGGACATCACCAATCATATCCTACCCGATGATCTCTACTGCGTAAAATGCAAGCGGAGTTCTGGGAACTGAATTTTCTTATGAAACACCGTTTATCTCAAAAAAGTTTCTCAAAAACTGGTTTTATTTTGAACCAGTTTTGTAAACTGTTCATTTGTTCCACAAACTGGTTTTAAACTAGATTTTCTAATGAAACATCGTTTTTCACTTAACTTTACCTCCAGAGTAATCATTGCACATCTAACAAAACACACCTACTGTACATGAAAATTCCAAAGCTTTTTTGCAGACTTACTCGTCACCCGATGATTTGGCTACTGCTTAAAATGTAAGGGGAGTTCTTGGAATCAAGTTTTCGTAGAAGAACCAATGCAGGCACTGTGACCCGGCGAACGGTTGGTGTACCCCTCCCCCTTCCTTCTGAGAAACTTTTTGCACACTATAACTTTAGCAAATATGCATGAATTCCTAGTCTATCACACCAATACTTCGATATTTGATATCATTTTCCGTTTTTGTCAAGTTAAAGAGATTGTCCCTTTACGTGCGATATAATAGTATTTTTATATGTATACCGTAAAAATGACGGTCTCTAAAACTTAACAAAACACGGAAAATGATATCAATTAACGAAGTATTGGTATGATAGGCTAGGAATTCATGTTTATTTGCTACAGTGTAAGTGACTGTGTCTAAAAAAAAGTATCAGAAGGTGGGGGTATTTGCACCAACAATTCGTCAAGTGCGGCCTGTGAAGAGAACGTCGTTATTGGCCCGATTATGAACATAAATATTTCTAAACCTTATTGCACATCTACAAGACGAATTGAATTGAATTGGATACTGCTAAAATGTTAGAGGCGTTTGAGGAAGAAACTGAATGATAGTGTGACAGACGGCAGCTGGACCATGATAATAACTCTGGTCACAATATACTAGTATCCGAACTTGCTTTTGAAAATCCTGGTATAATAACAGAAGATATTTTTTTTCATTTATGCAAGAATATGTTCACAACACAACATTAGCCCACCACGGATGTCACAGAAGTTTTGGGAGAATAGTAACAGAAATGCAGTCTTATATTTTCACCGCCATCCTCATAAGGGTGGTCACCGGATCGAATGTCTTGGTTGTGTACATCTTCTGTATCCCACGAAATGGTTTCCTCTCTTACATTCATCCCCACGACCTCTTGACACCCACGCTTATGACGTAGCAATATAAATGGTTTGTCTTTTGGCAAAACAATTTCTTCTGTTGGAAGCCCGTCACTCCTTATATAATGAAAAAAAAGACAAATCTCATAGAGAACATCTTAATGGATGATTACTTGGTAAATTGTTAATCAATGTTCATATAATAATCTTAATTTTGATTGTTAGAAAACTTGTATTCTCTAAATGTTCCATAAACATTGTACATGGTATAGATTTTTAGTTGCTTTAAAAAGTTTTCATGTTGCTAAGTACTAGCATATTAAAAAGAATCTGCCGTCTGCAAATAAAAAATTCCAATCCTAGAACTTGATTTGAAAAGTGAGCGATGTACGATTTCTTATACTTTTAATAATGAAAAAAAATTTAAGACAAATATCATCAAAATATACAGACATTTATATATAAAAATAACTGATACAAATTAACTTATTTATTTTGACTACAAATCCTTAAAAGTATTAAAATTTATTTTCAAAATTTCATCAAATGAAATAGGAAAATCATTCACTAAAGTATATAATAAAGTCTTATTTGTTCATATTTTTGACGATGCAATGTAAGTAAAAAAAATCAAGTTTTTAAAAGAATTACTTTCTAAAAAAAATATCATAGTAGAGCTATCTGCATTACACACGCAAGTGAGAAAACAAAATAATAGTATATGTGAAAATCTGCATTTTTTTCTTCGAAAATATGCAAAGTTATAGACCATGCACGCATATCTTCAAAATTTTTTTTAAACAATATATCCATGCATAAATACAGAATAATTTTTACATTCAAACAAGATGGGCTTCACCTTGGACCAAATAAATACTAGTAAAATTCGACTAAAAATGATGGAGCTTATGTAGGTTATTAATATTAACCTGCAGCAGTAGTCAATCTTGGTATTGCTGTCAAACCTTCCATCAGGTAGAGTTCCATGTTGTTGATTTCTATCTCCAGGGTCTTCGTCATCCCATCCTATGGATCCATAGGAAAAGCCTGGATAAAGAAAATCACATAAAGAAAATGATTGTCCGGCATTTGCCATTATGAAACTGTTTCTTCGTAGAATTCATGAATTATGAAGATAACGATCAGTAACCATGCTCAGAAGTCCATTGAAAACAATACAAATTGTGAGCAGAGCAAACATGGATCTCTACAAACATCAGAGATGGAATCAGGTGCCATGAAGGAGTAAGCATCCCCTGCCAACGGTAATACCCACCATGTGCTTTGTCTGAATTTTAACCTGAGAATTTCAAGACATTACTTTATCATTTATTCAAAAACAGTGTGTGTTTTAATAAGGAAAATATGTCATACCATCTGGGCAACTGCCATATTTTAGGATACAGTAATCTCCTTTTGGCCAGTTCATGTCAAATTCGGAGACCTGCGTGCTTCCTTTTATGCAGAAGACTTGTGCAATTCTTTTGTCATCCTTTTCACCTAAAATCGATAGAGATCTGAACAATCAAAAGAAATCATTTTTGACTTTGATATAAAATTATCAGTTGATTCCTCTTCTTAAGGAGGTTCGACACTGAATTTTTAAGCAGAATTTTGTCTCAACCTTTAGATAAAAAATTTGCATCATATATTTTAAATATTACATGTTTGGATTCTACAATGCCAATTTAACTATATTGAACTAAAAACCCACGTTCAAATTTCCACAAAAAAGCACTTACATGTAGTTAGAAACTATATTTTGTGGCGGGAGTTTTCCTGGAAGAAAATGATCTATTTTCTATTTCAAAGCACATGCAGGACCAGTAACATACTTTACTTGATATTACGTGATTAATATGTGTACAAAAAGGAATATTAATACCTTTATGTTACATAGTGATTACGTAAAATCAAACATGGTAAGTTACTGGGCCCTGTGTTTCAAAGTATGTACAGCATAATCCAAGACTTTCGTCATATCGTATTGTGACAAACAGAGTAAATATTGTGAAAGTCCAGGAAAAATAGCCCAAATTTTAGCTTAAATTTAACAATTTTTTTGTTAAAAAAAAATTATATCACAGACTATGGCGTGTAAAACGTTGCTTCATTATACTTTTTTGTTTTTTCTATTCAAAGAATTTATTATTCTTATTCTAAAAAATATCATTCCTATTCGAAAAATTGTGATTCCTATTCGATAATTTGTCATTTCTATTCCATAAATTATTATTCCTATTGAAAGAAATATGATTCGTATATAATTTCAAAATGTATCATTTACATGTATATTCAAAAACATGTTTCTTATTCGATAACATGTCATTCATATTCAAAAATATGTTTCCTAGGCCTGTTCGATAACTTGTCAGTCATATTCGATAACATGTGATTCCTATTCGATAATTTTATCATTCTTATTCGATAATACATGATTTATATACAATTAACTATTTATTCCAATTCGAAAACGTAAAATTCCTGTTCGATAATCTTGTTATTCTTATTCGATAATTTTATTATTCCTATGCGATGTTTTCTTATTCTTATATTCAGCAACGTCGCATAAGAATGATCAATTTATCAAATAAGAAAAACAAAATGATATTGTTATATATTTTAAAAGGAATCGTGTGTTTTTGAATAGGAATGATGTGTTTTTCAATAGAAATAACATGTTTATCGAATATAACTCATTTAATTATAGAATAAGAATGAGAAAATTATCGAATAGGAATGACAAAATTATAGAATAAGAATGACAAAATTATCAAATAGGAATAACAAATTTTCGAATAGAAATGATAAATGCACATTTTTCGCATTAGAATAACAACTTATCGAATAGGAATCACATTTTATCGAATAGGGATGATATGTCTTAGAAAAAGAATAACAAAAAAGATTAATAATTCAACGTTTTACACGCCATAGCAGACCATCATTTTTAAGTCTCTTTTCTGAATACATGCATTTACGATAACTCTAGCATATAACTTAGAAAATTCTTCGGACTTAAAAAAAATACTTTATATCTGCTATTTTTTTTAAAGTTAGACAACTTCTTTAAGTGTATAAAGGTCACATAATTGATTATACAAAGTAATTTGGAACTCTTTCTTTATCATAATTTTCAATGTGTCCTTGTAACATAGATTAAGACTATATTTGGTTTCATAATTTATTTGGTTAAACATATAAGAGGAAAAACTTGATAAAAATGATTTGTGTGAAAGGTTTAATTACAGTCAAGAAAGGTCATATTGAAAGCACCAGATGAAGCATACATGTATTGACCCCCCAGTTTCTGTTGTGATTTTTAATGAAGCTATGTTTGCAGATGTTAAAATATACTTTAGAAAAAATCCTAAGACTTGCATGACCCAATCTCGTTAAAATTTCATCTTTAGTGTATTGTAGCATGGTAAATGGCATTTTCACTGTCAGTGTTTTTGTTTCATTGAATGTAAATATTATACTTGAGTAAATAATTGAAATTATAGATAAATATTTTTAAAAATGTTAATTTATACTCAAAATAACTTTAGTTTAATGATTTGAACGTACAGGAATATTCTAAGAATTGAATGACAACGATATTCTTCATAGCAAGTCACGTCAAACACCTGTGTTTGTAAACAGGGCACGTGTTCTGTTATTTTAAGTGTTTTACCGGATGTGTTCAATTTGTTTAGTCTGCACACATCACTGAGCACGGACTGACAATACTGGTGAGTTGGTTTTGCTTTCTTGCATTTCTACTCTGAACTTTCTGGATTATTGTTTTCATATTTTTCATTAATACACAACAAAATTTCTCTTTTTTCTAAGTATTATGGATAAAGTTTACTTTGTGAAAGTGCAAGGATATATATCACTCAAACGCGTCCCCAAAATCGTAGTTTTAATAATTTCCAGATAAAAGAATTTCTTAACATCCTTTAAATATTATTCCGGTGTGAAATGCTCTAGCAATATATAAGCCATGATATCTTTTAGAAAATTTTTAGAAAATATTAGCTTCAAATTTGTGTCTCAACCCCTTTAAAATCAGATCCTTTGACCCGGTCACATAGATCGATACACAGGAAGCGATCTACTTGAGCGGATCAAATCAGAATGACGTAATAGCAAAAGCAAAGTTACCAGATACATGAATATCTGAAGACCAGGAATTATGGTTATGAAAGTCTTCCGTGTCTTGTATGACGTAACCAGTGTGCCAGGAAAAGGAGTGTTCGGAAGGACACCTGGAAGTCGTCATCATTAATCCGTATGTACCTTTCGGCCACGTGACTGGGATAATCAGTTTAGGGTCTTTGAAATAAAAAAAAAACCATACAAAATTTTAGCAAAAAATAATGACACAGTACATGTATTTATTGAGAAAATATATCTCTAAGAAAACCTGCAATATTGCAGAATATTCGTAATTCCATTTCATCTGACGTAAATTATCAACTGTTCAGTGCAAATCAATGTAAATATTTTTTTTGGTAGCCAAAGTATAAAACATGCATATGTTAAAAAAATCGATGGAATTGATTTCAAGCAACTCTTCATGTACAAATGTGATTTCATGTCAAATTCATTATTTGTCAAAAATCGTTAGTTTCTAAACTTTCGAAATACACACTATTACAAAAAGCCACATCTAGATCTTATGACCACTCAATCTTAGACTTTACAATCCGCGGCATTACATTACCAGTAGGAGTAGGTGCCATTTTGTATGCTGCATAATCCTCCAAAGATCGGATTAAATGTGATCTTCTTAATTGTAGTCGTATTTGGTCATCAGCTGAGCAAATACCTGCGGCGATTAAATCATCAAATCTCTGCCAGAATACGGGTTGCAGGGCTTCATCAATGGTCTGTAGTTTCAGACTAATCGGTTCCGGGAGGGTTTCAGAGCCGGACTGCAGAGTGTACTGATAGGTTCCATAGTTCTGATTAAAACTGCTACTTTGTTTGAATGTATCAAAATTGATTCCTAGAGATGCGGAAAATCCGAGATACGATCCTCCGACATCTAAGTCAAAGTCTCCCTGAAAATCGTTTAGTTACAGTAGCAATAAAAAATGTCGGAAAGTAACTCATATCACGGAAATCAAAATTTTCTATTAGTTATGTACGTTATGTACAAATAGTGTAGTCAGAAGACAGGAGAAATTCTACTGTAATCAAAGTAATTTTACTTTTTTAAAAAAAGGAAATATACACTGTATTCAACGTCAAACATGTAACATTTCTTTGTCAGTATACGGAAAAAAAATTTAACTTGACTTATCTGGTGGGACCACCATATAGTTGAAGAGAGGGGAACTATCAATCGAATGCTAGTTTAAGTGTATTTGTCATATACTGTGGGAAAATCCTAACAGATTCTAGACATCTCGTATGAAGTGAGAATAAGAAAGGCCACTTTTAATACCCATGCTAAAACTGTTGGCCGGATTGGTGTATTTCATGGAACTTAGGGGAAAAAGTTTCATCTTAAATAATGCTTACTTACATTTTATGAGATCTGAGGGGTCACCATCCTATCTGAAGATTTATGCAAAAGGTCTTTTGAATTAATTTTTTTCAATGAAGGTGGCTACGTTTTGTGCAATGATTTTTAAGTGTTATTTTATATCTTAGATAATTACAAATGGCCTGCATTCGACTGATATTTCGCCTATCCTTTAAAAATTCTTCGAATGGTAGCAATACTTGCGACTTAAAGAATTCATGCGCTAATACACATGAATGTAAAGAATTGCATCCATTGAACTGCATGTATATATACTAGTACATGTATACAATTACCCCTCTTCTGGGATATAATCAAATTGATTGTGAAAAGATCGAGTAAAATTGGTTCAGTAGTTGAAAAGAAGGCACTGAAAACGTTCCAAAGGACATGTGCGTTTGAGAGAACTAACTAGCTGACTTTATAAGAGAAAATATACACGTGACATTGACAGACTGACAACAACAAAAGACAATTAGATATGCAAATCCTTGCAGTTAGAATATTTCAAAGAAGCAAACAGAAATTTAAAGAAATTTAAAGTTCATCTTAATCTTAATTTAATCAAATGGAAATATAGACTCACAGACTTCCTCACTTGCTCCACAAATTGTTTGAAGGAACTTTGCGAGCGGCTAATTTGTTTTTTGCCAAGCTCAACTTCAATCGTTATGTGCTGAAAAAGAGTTAACTGATGTCTTTTATGGGAAAATATATAAAAGGTAAATTTCAATTAAACTTAGCTTTACTGAATAGAGGTAACTGAGAAAAAAAATAGTCTTGCCGAATTTTGAATTTCCCTCTGCACAGAGTAAATGACAACATATACTAGTAGCTCGAACGAACAAAAAAAATATCCTCTTTGATCATCAACTTTTCTAACTATTTCGTTCAAAACTTTAAAAAATGTAAAATCTTTTTCTACTGACCGTCCCCCATTGATCTAAAAAGTTCATGTAAGTCGATTGGTTGTATGTCACCGGAAGTGAACAAATAGCTGCAGCAAAGCTTTGGGTAATGGGAAATTTGCCTGCATGGGCTAATTCAGTCATGTAACGCACTCGACCAAGATTACATAGATTTTGCTGATCCTGAATTATATTGTGTTCTAAATTTGTTTTATTATGAGCTTGTTGGTATCCTGTAAAAAGACATTCAAAAAGGTAGTTAATTTGTCAAGACCTTGCCAAAAATCAGGAGTGTACAAATGTACGTAACACTAAAAGTCTACACGCCTTTTTAATATGAACGCTGGAGACCATGCAGATCTTAAAACCTTAAAAAAATTGATTCATAATTTGAACATACTAGTACTCACTTCCACTTAAGGTGAATGAAAACGAGGCTAACCCTACACTTGCGCCACCTGAAAAAAATATGATACATCTTCGAAAATACTTGGTAATTATTTCAAACAAGAGATTTATCACGCTCACCTTTGTCACGTTACTTGCCATTAGGAACACACACGCGCACACATACACACACAAGCAAACCCACATTAATTCTATACCAGAATGCATTCAAATTTCAATTTGGCAAGCAAGAGGTCATAAATACGTATATATATATATATATATATATATATATATATATATATATATATATATATATATATATATATATATATATATATATATATATATATATATATATATATATATAAATAAATATATATATATATATATATATATATATATATATATATATATATATATATACATACATATATATATATATATATATATATATATATATATATATATATATATATATATATATATATATATATATATATATATATTTATATATAAAGCACTAAAAACCAACAACACTGTATATCCTAAGTGTCGGATCTACTAAGTAGATACAAGGTCACGGATGGAAATTTATATAAAGAACTAAAAATGACCAACGACACGAACAATCATAATTGTCAAATTTTCGGGACGACCTGTCCCTTCCTCAGGACAAAGAAAAAAGTTAAGAAGTCATAAAACAAAGGAAACAGAGAAACAAAAACAACTAGCACTACTACTAAACTACCAAACACTAAATATTTACAGTATTACATGTTTAAGTTGAAGTTTATAAACAGTTGTTTACAAACATACTGTTTGGAGCAAATAATTAACTGCATTTATCTCATCAGTTGCAAAATTTGCTCCAAACAGTATGTTGGTGAAACAGGAGATCTCCGCGCAAGAGAGTCAATAATCACCGTTCTACCATTAGGACCAAAAAACTCAATGAACTTCAACTTAAACATGTAATACTGTAAATATTTAGTGTTTGGTAGTTTAGTAGTAGTGCTAGTTGTTTTTCTGCTTCCTTTGTTTTATGACTTCTTAACTTTTTTCTTTATCCTGAGGAAGGGACAGGTCGTCCCGAAAATTTGACAATTATTAATGTTCGTGTCGTTGGTCATTTTTAGTGCTTTATATATATATATATATATATATATATATATATATATATATATATATATATATATATATATATATATATATATATATATATATATATATATATATATTTCAAATGAAGTTTACGATCTGGAGTATTCTTGAAAAGTAGGTCAAATGTCATGGTCTAGCAGTTACGCTTATATTTTTCAAAATGTCTCATGACAAGCCCGGACACCTTAAAAATCATAATTTTTATTATTTACATGTTTTTCCTTTAAATTTTCTTTTCTTACTTCAATATAATCTTAATGAAAATATAAAAATTATTAAATGCTTGCTAAGGTCCTAATCGAGTCTCTAAAACCTTAGCTATATGGAGGAATGATTGTACATTTGTAGTCTTATCATTGAGATAGTACTTAAAAGAAATGAATTGACACTACGTAGGAGAGTTTCTGTACAAGTTTTGACATTTTAATCTTGTGGTTTTTGAAGAAGCAAAGAAAAAAATTACCTATATTCACTTTTTCTTAATTATTTATTAGTATTTTTAGTTATTTGTTAAATGAATTCCCTTTACCTAATTAGGATTCATGACTTTATTGGCAATAAACAAATGACTGTGAAATAGTTATTTATTTTTAAATTTTTTTTAGTTTAAAAAGAGAAAAGACATTTTTAGAACTATTGATAAATAACTTAAATTTTTGTTCAAGTGAGCTGAAGAAATTGACATATCACATATCAAGTACACGTTTCTAGAATGACATTCATAAGAGGACATACGAGTAGTTATGGGTTGTAGAAAACAAGTTTGAAGACGCTGTTACCATAATTAGAATTTAACGAATAAGCACATGACTTGATACTAGAGCAAGTCTAAGTACGCACTTTTTAAAATTCTCCTTGTCTACTTTTGCGACTCAGAAATAGCGTTTAAATTAAAATACAGTTTTCTCTCTGTTTCAATTAAAAACAGCATAGGTCACCTGAAGTTTTTACACCAAGTTTTAGTTTGTCTTGGTACGATTTGGTTCCATAGTACATAGAAGTTGTGTTCTTATTAGCACAACTATGGCGGTGTTCGATTTGTACTCTTTTTGGTGAGTCATGTTCGGTAACCTCAAAGATTTTCCTGGTGTACAGTAGGCCTGGATCGACTCCTCCGTTGGAAACCAAGCTCCCATCAGGATTTCCGGTCAGTAAGTTATATCCTACCCCGATATAGTGAAGATCTTCTTGCCGAGCCGTCGAAAAACTCAACAGAATCATAAACAACGCAGGGTATATTGTACTCATTCTTACTAACCTAAATGACATTTAAAAAACAGTTGTGAGCTTATGTGGTGTGAGTTGAATAGAATATCTAACATAATTGCTTTTATCATACACGTAGAAAATATAAATACCCACTGCAAACTCAATAGAGGCAAACTCTTCTCCCAGAAGGTGTCAGATGTTTTTTCTTCTGTTCTTATTAGTTATTTGACATTAGCCACTTTCACTTTTAATTTGCTTTTCAACGAATGCGACTACTTACACAACTTGAAGGCCATGTTTTTATCTTATCTTTATAAATAAACGTTGTTAATATCTGTTCCATTGAACCAAATTGCTCACCAGTTATATACACACTGGTCACGATTTAAAAAAAACGCACATAGGTAATCAAACATCACAAAGCACACTTGTATAAATGCTATTTATGCGTAACACAGTCTTATCAATTAGTTCCATGTATGTATATCACCAGATGCCTTTAAATTCAAAAATTAAAAAGACAAGTTCTTTACCAAAGTTAAGTATCTTTAGATGGATCATCCATACAGATTTGCTTCAGGTACGATTTCTTGAGAGTAAACCTGCTGAAAAATCTTTGATCTGATCACTCGCCTGGAAAATATAAATCAGATGCAGCATCCGAAGCAAGTCCGGTGGAATGCATCTCAAGAGGCATCACCGATGAAAGATTCTTCCATATAGGGCTTATAGTTACTTTGGAACAAACCTACTAAATAAATATTTTATATGGCCACTCATCGAAAATACACTAGTATAAGTCAGTTTTAGCATCCAATGCAAATCTAGTAGTGTGCATACCTAGGTGTATAATTCAAGAAATTTTGGTCAAGGTTAGGCTTATAGGTACAACTGAACAGACCTACGTCAACACCTAAACATTCATCGTCGCAAGCCACGGGTTTTGTGTCCATTCTATTTCCACAAACCCATGGCTGTCTCCTACAAATTTCTCTCGTTCTCATGAATAATAATAACATACATTCAACCAATGGAATAACATCTGACGCTTCAAGTCAGAACCAATGAAAATGATCAGTCTATCTTGTATTTGGATGTAACCATAACCACGAGCTGTACATCAACTTCGGTTCGAATTTCCTTTCTTAACGAGTAACGCTATTCAGCGTTCTCACACAACGTCTACATTCGAAACCCTGTATTTTAATGTAAAACCTTGTAAGTATTTTAGAATATACGTTACCCACCTCTGTTTTTCAGGATCTATCGTATTTTTTTTCAATAAATCTGCCACGCATAGCAAACATGATTTCATTATGGGCGCCGCCATTTAAGCGTACCAAAAATTGCTACAGAGTGATTTCATTGGTCAAGGTAAATCTGGCGTCATTTAATAAATATTCAATGATTCAGTCGCGAGAACGAGAGAATTTGGTAGGAGGCAGCCACGGGTTTGTGGAAATAGAATGGACAGAAAACCCGTGGCTTGCGACGATGCTATACATTGTCACTCTTCTAAATGCAGTTCTAGAATCAAAATCAAATCCCTAGATCAAAACAAGGCAAGATTGGTACAGGTAAATTATACTTACACGGGAGCCTGCTTCAAAACCGTAAATATGACCACTCTTACATAATATACAGGTCAGTCGCAGCATTCAAAGCAAGTTTGATGGCTTGGTCACTCTTCCAGAAAATACAAATCAGCTGCACAACATCCAAAGCAAGTTTAATAGCATGATCTTCCAGAAAACATAGGTCAAGTTTAGTAGTATGGTCACACTTCCGGAAAACAAAGGTCAGTTAAGGCATGCAATGTAGTACTTCCAGAAAATACAGATCAAGATTAGACGCATGGTCACTCTTCAAGAAGATACAGTGAAATATGGAGATAACGAACAGTATTCAAGCTCAAAGTCTATTTAAAAAATACAAATTGGGAGCAGAGCAAACACGGACCTCCAAAAACATCAGAGATGGGATCAGGTGCCACGAAGGAGTAAGTATCCCCTCCGACTGGTCACACCCACCGTGTGCTCCTTGTCATGATCGGGTAAATGGAAAATTCCGTAAATAATGGCCTAGCAATTAGTATGAAGAACGTCAGACAGTATTTGACCTAATGATAGATTGTATTTGCTAATGAGGTCAATGTATCGACCATAGAACTTGCAAAATGATGACTTCGAATGAGACTGTTGATATCCTTGTTTCTTTAAATTGTTGGTTAATGGCTTGCCTTGTTTTGAAAATTGATCATACGAAGAGCATGTTCTTGCGTGGGTAATCAACTGGAAGACAAAAACCCCACATGCAGGTGATAAGGGTACTAGTATATTGCTACATAAATGAGGTAAGTTGACGATAGAAACCTTGGAAATACAGGTCAGTTGCTGCATCTAAAGAATGTCTTTTATGTATGTCCTTATATGCATTGTCCAGGAATTTTTTTTTCCAAGTAAGGTTAAAAGAAACTGGAACAGACCTTTGAAAACTTCAAAATGGTATCTCTTCAAGAAATATAGGTAAGGTACACTGTAGATACCTAATCCTAACCTTTTAACCTGGGATAGCGACGCTGACACCGGGAGTACAGCAAAAGCTCTCTACTCCGTCTAAGGAGGATAAATAGAAGGTATTCAATTGTTTTGTTTGATATGGAATTTATTTCATGAATGGGACAGGATTTTTGATATTTTCACGAGTGCAAAGCACGAGTGAAAATCTATAAAGAAATCCTATCTCACGAATGAAATAAATTCCATATCCAACTACTATATATTGAATTTTCTGTTCATTACATTTTCTTTTATGTTTCCTTTGCTTCTGTCTTTTTATAACACAGTGTTATATGCTCTGACGTCATGGTTGAGCGGTTGAGAAGTCATAGCTTAGCAGTTGTGAGACCTATTGAAAACATTGTAACATGGATTTTAGCAACATATTTGGAAAAAAATTGACGGTTTAAGTCTCTATCAAGATGGTTTAGTTACTAATCTCTATCTTATGACAGGCTAGAAATTGTTTTTTACTTACGTTGAGAACCTTTCACACTGTGAGAGAATATCACTTTGGTATCCTTTCACACTGTGAGACAATATCACATTTTTTTCAATAAAAAAAATCACAGTATTTCACTGTTGAAAATGTAATAAAACATATACATGTATGTTCGGGTGTCATTATGCGGGGTTTGTCAAACTAGTATACGGATAGTTTTTTTTTAAAACAACCGACGTTAGTTGAAAATTGCTCACTCGTATTACAGGTGCCTTCACTATCAACCACAGATGTACGTTCAAATAGCCCTTTCACATTTAACACATGTAGAAATAGCACTTAAAAATGTGTCAAAATAAAATGCAGATAAACATACATGTACATGTATTGAAACAACATAGAATAGACAGAATTTACTGCATAATCCACAATTTGAAAAGTTAAATGTAGAGAAAGATGACGGTCAAAATTGGAGTCTTCCATCAGAAAAGCTGAGGACACTGGATACAATGATGAGCATTGAAGTGGTGAAATTTTGCGTATGAATGGATCATTTGCGTCTTTCTTATCAAACGTCAACTGTATTCTAGGGTAGGATTTCCTCTCGGGGGAAATCACACATCAGACCCAAATCCCCCCCCCCCCCTTTCTTTCCCAGAGTAGGACTTCCCCTAGCTTGTACATATATAAATTATGTATATTAACCTCTGACAGCGAAAGTATTTTGGCTAAAAGATGAAATGAAAGTTAACAGTTATATTAAATGAAAAAATTTACAACTATTCTATAAATGTACTTTGAATTTTGTAGTTCAATCCAAAATTTTAAGGAGTAGTCCACACACCAAAAGTTTATTTACGGGACCTACATTTTGTAAACATTTCGTTTGAAATGTAATTTCAGCATTGAAGACCGAGATAAGCTCTTTATCATTTCTTTTTATCATTATCATCATTTTTTGGTATTGTATTTTTCGAGGAAAATATATTGTTTTACTGCAAATAAGACACTAGAGAGCTTAAAATTTGCTGTTAATTTATTCATAGAATAAATATCTCAGTAAACATGTCAAGAAGAATCAGATGGATATTTAGCTTTTTTCAAAATCAGAAATAGTAAGGAACATTTTTAAAACATTTGTGAAAGTTTTGTTCATCCAATAATGCCAGTTATAGAAAATGAATGTTAGACAAACATATTCAAAAAGAAGTTGAAATTAAATTGCTAGATTTAAGAGATAGATATAATAATTTTTAAAATTTGAATTTTTATCCAATTCCGTTTGAAAGAAATTCGTTGTCGATTTAAAAAAAAAGAAAAATTAACTTAATTTATACCTAAAAGCAAATTACTACAGATAAGCCAATATCAAAGTACATGTATTCTCAGTGGGGGAAAACTGGCTCTGGGAGAAATGGTACTGTATAACTACTAAACAGAGTAGGATTTCCCCCGGAAAATTTAATCTTGTGTAGGATTTCCGTAGGGGAAATTCTACTTTAGAAATCTTGAGCCAATTTACAGAAATCATGCTGTAGAGCCAGGTTTCCGGGAATGGGGGAGGGGGGCAAAGATTTTAGAGGAGAAAGTCTACTATACAAGACCGGTTCTTCCCGATGACATTAGAATGGGTCAACCATGGGTCTTGAATTTGAATCACAATAGCATTAGTACGGGTGAATAGAGAGTGGGAGACTCCCCGATTCAGTAAAACTAAAATCTGAAAACCCAGATAATTCATTGTTTCATTCTAAGAAATGTCAAATTTTTAGGTAGGGTGTCTGCTATGGATGAGGCTATAGGGAACCTTACAGAAGTTTTCAAACAGAAAGGGATGTGGAATAATACGCTGATGGTGTTTTTAACGGTTAAACTGCTTTTTTCACTATTTAAATTAGATCTGCTCAAGTCTCTATTCTTCTGTTTCTTAAATTGTCTGCCTATGATTTTTTTGTCCGAAAAAATGTTAATATGAATGTATCATATGTTATGACATTATCAGAAGGAAGGAATGGACCAGAATTAAATGCAGAAAAAATTCCAGATTTTATCTAAGAGACTTGAACAAGTCTAAACGTACAGTATATATATTTTGTGATTTCTTTGGGGTGGAATGTTGAGTATAACTTATTTGACATGAAAAAATAGAATACATTTACATTTAAAGAATTTGACTATACTGCACCCTTTTAATGACTATTCAGGCCCGCAGGAAGCACTTTGAGTTTTGGGGTACAACCTTTGGGGGGCACTACCCAACAAAAATTCCTTGTCAAGCATCAGACATTATTATTGCGGGGGTACAAGCATAAAATCTTCCCCCCGTTCCTACGACCAAGCATTAATGTTTTGGTGATAACGAAGACACATTGCCATGTCTTTCCAAGGTTATTTATTTAGAACATAAAATGTGATAATGTACTTGTAAATCAAACGTAATATGGTCATTTTTTGTTTTATTTTTTAAACATTTACTCCCATGGACCCCAATATCCTCCGTGGTATTTCGGATCAGCTTTAGGGTCTATGTTAGGAAACCTGCAGGGTACCGCAGTTTTGTTATACTGAGCTAGTAGCTCCAACATATCCATTACTACATGTTGCATAGTGTCAGAAACATCGTTGTGCTCATTGGGATCATCTGTGATATTGAACAACCAAATATTCTTTTCAGCTGCACTGTTTATTTTTGACATCGCTAAATTTTTCATATGAGGTGGAGGAATCCAACTTCCATTTCCTGAAATCAACGCGTCGACATCATTAACGCATATGCAAATCATGTCACATTTGTATAGGACTTTGCATTTTTGAAAAAATTGCATATCATCATGTTAACCACATGATACAATGTCCACTAATGATTCAATCCAATTCAGGGATGGTAATGTTATTTACTGCTGATTTGAAATTGACTTTGTCTACTTATGATAAAAATAATAAAAATATTAAAATAAGCAAATATATACAAAGTCATTCATTTATTCTAAATCATTAGTGGATTTATATCGTAAGTAGTTACTATCATACTTTTATTACGTTAACTTTCCAGATTAACTTATGCTGAAAGACTCAATATTTCACTACTACCACTTACATTTTGAAAATAAACCCTTTCGTTGTCTGTTAATATTACAGTATATCTTTTAAAAGTTTAAATCTTCAACACCTTTTATCATGATTAGTACAAATATGTAACTTATTACAAAGGTGTATCTTGATTCCAGTTACTGGAGGCTTACATCTTATATACAAGTGTCAAGGAGTTACATTTAGACAGAATAAATAGGTAAAAAAAAATATGCTACTGAAATTTGTTCGTTGCATATTCTTATGCTATTCTCACCAGGAAAACCTGTGACGAGCTTCCAGTCTCCCATTCGGACAGCCGCCCTTATTCTGTTGTCAAATGGGCTTGTAGGCAGTCTTTGACCCACTGGGGGGTAGAGAGGGTCTATGTTGTGTAGAATTGATCTCCTTTGACTGGGTGTTGACTCATCACTACAAGTTATGAACCCAATGACATGCATTTTTCTTGAAATTCTTAACTATCATTTAAATTCAGCATTTGATGTCTTACTTTATGGTTTTCCACTGGTCCACTCCATCCAATGGTTTTGTTCCATTTAAATTACCACCGACCATTGACAAAAGTGTGGGGAACCAGTCTGAGATATGAATTAAGTCTCGTGAGACTGTCCCTTTTCTTTTCAACATCTGACCATGTACAAACCCCACGCCATGAACACCCCCTTCCCAGAGAGAGTTTTTCCATCCCCGCAGAGGATAATTATTCCCTCCTGCATGGATTTGTCCCCCATTATCTGTAAAATACAAAGTAACTGTACATTAAAACCCTAATGTATAAAACCAAAGAAGTTTTAAAAATTCAAATTGTTTAAGCGATTCCTTTGACCTAAAAGGTAGTACCTCTTAGTAATTGTAACTTATCATTGATCTCCCCACTTGGTTTTTAAAGAAATATTATCTTAATGTATAATTGGCCATGTCAAGTAGATGTGCGATACGGTTTTAGAAATGTTATATCTGCCTATTAGGTTTCCTGTGTGTGTTTTTGCATGTTTGCCAATGGAACTTTTTAAGATTTTTTAAAACTCTTGGAATTTCATACACAGCTAAATAATTAAATTCTGTTACTGGACGGATAAAGAATTTATTTATTTATTTACTTATTTATTTTTGATATTGAAATTCAGATTCAAATTCAAGATAGACGTAGTCTGTTAGTAGCAAGCGTGCTGTAAAGTTTTCTAATTCTACAACTGGCCTTCATTTTTCAGACAAGTGATCTGGATAAAGACTGTTCATACCAAAGTAGTTGTCATTTCTTCATTTAACAATTCAGCATGGACTACACTAAAGATGTTTTTATGCTAATCTTTCTGTTTTGAACGTGATTTATATTTTCGAAAAAGTGAACAAAATAATGTTTTAGAGCCCATTGACGATTACCATAAGTCTATTCTGCACATTTTTTTTTTATTGGGAATGACCATAGATTAAGATGGATCAGCTAAAGGTTCTTCATACAAAGAATATCATGGATGTTTATAAAACAGTCCTATATTAACCAACCGCACAATTATTATATGACTAAAAATTGTATACTACTATTATTTTTCATTTTCTGAATGCTAGCTTTTGGAGTACACCAATGCCAAAGTAATATACTTCTTATATTGACTTTTTTTATTCATACTACAGCTACAGACCATATATAGCTTCTAATCCTGCATTGTGCCTTTATTTTCAAGCTTGAAAGCTAGATTGTTTAGCTTGGTGTATGTTATTTATTAAAAATAAAATACAAAGATAAAAAATTTTAAGACTAATTTTTTTATGACTTTAAAATTATAACAATAATACAAATATATTCCAAGTGGTTATTAAATGAAGGATTAAGCATACTAACATTCACGATTAGACTTGCTCAAGCCTCTATTTTAAAATCTGGAATTTTTTCTGCATTAAACCCTGGTCCCTTCCTTACTTCTGATAATGTCATAACATATTGACATATTAATTTTTTTTTAGAAAAAAGTAATTATAGGCAGACAATTTTAGAAACAGAAGAACAGAGACTTGAACAGTATTAATTCACATTGTGAAAAAGTATTAGTTTACCTGTTGAAAACACCATCAGCGTATTATTCCACATCCCTTTCTGTTTGAAAACCTCCGTAAGGTTCCATATAGCCTCATCCATAGCAGACACCATTCCTAAAAAAATCACATTTCTTAGAATAGAACATTGAATTATGTTGGTTTTCAGGTTAAAATGGCTACTTAATTTCTTCTTCATGTGTAAGGAGCGTAGAAGACAACTAATCTAGTTTTTTAGTAGAAATTATGTTGTAAATAAAGTTTGTGCACGTTTTCAAATCAGTATTAGTTTTCGAGTACGAATACTTTCAACATTAAAAAGCTTCATACTTGAACATTTTTATTTTCGTTTTATTATTTAGTATTAAATCACGTAAAAAAAAATATGCAATTTCATCATGGGTATTTCATAAAGGTCCCATAGCAATACATTTTTCATGAGGAAATAGGAAACAACGACAGCGATTCGACAGAGAGAGAGAGAGAGAGAGAGAGAGAGAGAGAGAGAGAGAGAGAGACAGTATTTAATCTGCTAATGAATTTGGTGTACTTCCATAAAAGAAATAAAATTAGGTTTCAGTGTTCATTATTAGTCCCCTACCGGTGAAACCGGAGGGGACTATAGGTTTCCTCTGAGTCTGTCCGTCCGTCTGTCTGTCTGTCTGTCTGTCCCTCTGTCTGTCTGTCAGTCTGTCCCACTTGGTTTTCCGCACTTTTTTCCTTAACGCTTGCAGATATTGAGCTGATTTTTGGTATGTGAGTGTATCTTGACGAGCTACAGATCAAGTTTGCATTTCGTTCCGCTTCATTGATGTTTGATGGAATTATGGCCTTTTCAATTTTTAGGGGTTTTCCGCAATTTTCTTCTAAACGCTTGTAGATATTGAGCTGATTTTTGGTATGTGAGTGTATCTTGATGAGTTACAGATTATGTTTGCATTTCGTCCCGCTTCATTGATTTTTGACGGAATTATGGTATTTTCAATTCTTAACGGGAACCACTTGCCGGTAGGGGACTAGTATTGCTAATGCAATACTCTCAGAATGCTTGTTTTTTTTTTTTAATAACAATAACAGTCCATTTGTCAGGAATAGTCCATTTGTCGGAAATGGTCAAATCTCGGCAATATGATGAGTGGATAAGGATATCCTTTCCCAGAATGAGAATGGTGACCATCACAACCCGAGTCATCCGTCTAAAGAGCGTCGTTTACCCATTGTGGTTAAAGTATGGACGCCTTCTTTTTATGATATCTGATTGTTTAAAGTCTAAAGTAAACGATATTTTAGGAATTTTATAATTATATTATTGTTAAGATATTCAACTATTTTTCTAACTTTAATTTGGCGATCTTTCATAACAAATTACTCAACTAAGCACGCATCTCTTCCCAAGCTTGCTTCCACTTGGCAACAGAACAAACATCATTTTTAGCCATCTCCCTTCGTTCACTAAAACAATCAATCCAATTAATGATTGAACTTCTAGCAAGTTTTTTGTCTTCATAAACCTTGTACCAATTACTATATACTACTGCAAAGGAATTTCCAAGATATACGTTAAACTTTACAGCCGTTCGTTGCTCGAGTACGACTGGGTCAACCATTTTTTGTCACAAGTCATCTACATATTGACGTCATTTTCACATCGTGACGTCAAAAACATGGAGTAAAACATCACATATGACATGCTATTTATAGAACATGTGTATGACTATATGTATGCAAAATTTCATTCTGGTCTGAATTGTGGTTTTGTAAATATAGAGATAGTTCGCGAACTTTTTTATCACCCCTCGTATATTATCGAAATAAAAATTGGTGAGTGTATCTTGATGAGTTACAGATTATGTTTGCATTTCGTCCCGCTTCATTGATTTTTGACGGAATTATGGTATTTTCAATTCTTAACGGGAACCACTTGCCGGTAGGGGACTAGTATTGCTAATGCAATACTCTCAGAATGCTTGTTTTTTTTTAATAACAATAACAGTCCATTTGTCAGGAATAGTCCATTTGTCGGAAATGGTCAAATCTCGGCAATATGATGAGTGGATAAGGATATCCTTTCCCAGAATGAGAATGGTGACCATCACAACCCGAGTCATCCGTCTAAAGAGCGTCGTTTACCCATTGTGGTTAAAGTATGGACGCCTTCTTTTTATGATATCTGATTGTTTAAAGTCTAAAGTAAACGATATTTTAGGGATTTTATAATTATATTATTGTTAAGATATTCAACTATTTTTCTAACTTTAATTTGGCGATCTTTCATAACAAATTACTCAACTAAGGACGCATCTCTTCCCAAGCTTGCTTCCACTTGGCAACAGAACAAACATCATTTTTAGCCATCTCCCTTCGTTCACTAAAACAATCAATCCAATTAATGATTGAACTTCTAGCAAGTTTTTTGTCTTCATAAACCTTGTACCAATTACTATATACTACTGCAAAGGAATTTCCAAGATATACGTTAAACTTTACAGCCGTTCGTTGCTCGAGTACGACTGGGTCAACCATTTTTTGTCACAAGTCATCTACATATTGACGTCATTTTCACATCGTGACGTCAAAAACATGGAGTAAAACATCACATATGACATGCTATTTATAGAACATGTGTATGACTATATGTATGCAAAATTTCATTCTGGTCTGAATTGTGGTTTTGTAAATATAGAGATAGTTCGCGAACTTCTTTATCACCCCTCGTATATTATCGAAATAAAAATTGGCTTGAAACATAATCATTACCAGCATATGTTCTTCTTTGCTCGTCCTTTATATGCATATAGGGCTGTATATACTTGTCTGGTACTTGTAGCGGGGCATGTACGGATTGGAATGGAAGATACAGGAAAAGAGGCTGTAAAGTAATGGCGATTGTAATCACATTTTCTTATGACAAGGCAAAATAGACACTTCTACAGCAATATTCGACATTCATAAGTGAAAGTAAATGGTGGGGTTCATGGAAAAAATGACAAAATTTCTTTGACGTTTATTTATTGCATCTCGTAAAAATTTAATTAGTCATTTTAAATTTAGAAAACAAAATAAAAATAAATAAATAAAAAAAATTGAATTGAAAGTAGTAGACTCTAACACAAAGTAAGTGATGCTCAAGCTTTGGTACGAAAACATACTAAAGCACTCCGTCATAGAATCTTGAAGTATATATTCACATTGAAAAAAAGGAATATTTTTTTTCTGTGGTACTAAAATGACGTACAAATAAATTCATCCTATTAGAACCTTCAGAGTAGGCTGAGTTATTACACACCATGCAGGTATTTATGTCAATTTTCTTTGAGAATTTGAAGGTGCAAATAAATACACTGTACATAATTTTCAAGACAAATTATCCCTTTACTAGTTAGTGACAAATTATTATCTCGGAAGTGAATTAGATACATTGTTTAGTATTATCAATGAAAAGTTCATTTAGCAGACTAAAGCTAAATAGAAAAATAATACCTGGTTTGTATTGTGATTTTTGACAACATCGACTGCTTTTTGAGAAAATAAATGAGCCGAATACTGTCCGGAATAGTTGGCTGGGTTTGTATTATCGAGTAAATCTGTACCACACATTACCCCAAAACATCTTTCGTGTGTGAAGTAGTCCTCAGCACCACTAAGGTACCCTATAAAAGTAAAGAACATCGGATTTCCTGATCTTAAGCATAGGTAATTAAAGATTACAAAGATCACCTCAACAAATGTTATCTATTATGTACTAAAGGCAAAGTCTCACACCAAACAAATATTCTAGTAGTGTGCATCCCTAGATGCAAATTTATACAAGTTTCGTCTGGCTAAGATTTTAATTTACTTGGGAATGGACTTTCTTCAAAAATCTTTTCCGTTTAATCAATCGGAAAATGTTAGATTCAGCAACCGAAACAAGTGTGGTAATGTGCATTCCTAGATTCATCGTTTCATAAAATTTGGCCAGAATAGGCCTTATAGTAATCTCGGAATGAACCGGTCACTCATTCATCTGGAAAATGTATGGTTTATGGTCACTTCGAAAAGGATCTGCTCCAAAAACTTTAATCTGTCCACTCACTGGAAAATGAAGTTCAGATCAAAAATTCAAAGCAAATCTGGTAGTGTGCAACTTTAGATTCATGCATAACGTCCATGTAAGTTTAGCTACCATAGGGCATATAATTACTTGGGAATGAGACCTGCTCTTTTGAAAAAATTAACCTGCTCCAAAAACTTTAATATCCACCAACCCCCCCCCCCCCCTCCAAAAAAAAAAAAATTAACATGGTCATTCTTATGGAAAACATTGACTGAAAATACAGCATCTTAAACCTGGCTGGTACAATGAAACTTAGTGGATGCATCGTACATGGGTGAATTAAAAAAAATGACCGGAAACATATTTATCAACCTGCACTAAAAATAAAATATAGGCAATAAAGAATAAATTTCTATAGCTCACCATGTGTCTTTTGATACTGGCGAAATGCCTGCCAAATACCTCATTGATATCTAAAGTCACCAAAACGTTATGCTATAAAAATATGCTAAAAATGTCAAGAGTGCAACATCTTTTTGTGACATTTTGAAAATTGAATATTTTGGAAGATCTTTGAAACAAAAAATAATGGGGTTTTTTGGGAAATAAAGACTTTCGTTATAAAATTCAATATATTGTGCTTTTAATACAGACTGTAGTAACCTTTTGTTGACCTAGATGTGGTAATGGCTGATGCTGAAAAAATTGTTATACCGTGTCAGGAGTGCAACAGCAAAATTGTAATGTTGCCCAAAAACATTGATTTTACAAAATCTTTATGACAATTAAGCAAAAAAAAATTTCAGCATAAAACAATAACTGATAAACCATTTAGAAGTTTAAAATGATAAAGGAATCATAAACAACATTAATAAATGTCAAGTATCTGATTGATTAATTATATTGATTGATTGATTGTACGTTGTTTTACGTTCCCGTTTTTGAAACTTGTGTCCAATCCCTTTGACATATTGTCAATTAAATATGTTCAAAACAAACAATGGTATAAAATTTCATTGCAAAGGCTCAACAGCTTCTTGAGATATCGCCCGGAAACGAAATTGTTACACACAGTCAGAATCTACGAATTTATGACCTTGACCTTTGACCTTTTGACCTCAAAATCAATAGGGATTATAAAAAATTGTCCTAAATGATAAAAAATATCAAAACAACGAACTGCTTTACAAACGTTGAATGAATTAACGCGTGTTTTATTGTTTAAAACAATGTTTAATAAAAAAAAAAAAAAATAGCAGATGTCAGGAGTGAAACAAAATAAGGTAAAATAGGATCACTTCAATGTCGAGTATTTTTGTAAGAAAAGTTATATATAAAAATTCTTTTTTGACTAACATTTGAAAAATTGACTAAATAGACCAAAAAGTAATTTTTGGGGAATTTATTGTATCATATTTCTTTCATATTAAGTCTTCTCAAACCAGAATTGTGACAATTAATGTAAAATAATCAAAATGCCATTTTTTAAATATATATACAAGAGATTAGATTTAGTCATTTATATCATCCCCTGACACAAGTCTGAAGGATAAAAAACTATTATTTCCTTAGATTATGTATTTCAGAAAGTATTTTAGGATGTGGTAATGTTTTCTTTTTTTTTCAAACGAAATTCTACTGATAAAAATTCTGAAACTTTTTAAAGCATTTGTCTATTCTATTGTCACTTCAGAAATTTCAACTTTAATGTATATACAAAATGATGTTATAATTGAAAAATATGTTACAGTAAGTTGATTTTTTTTTCAAAAAATTTCATTATTTTTGAATTCATTCCCATGCAACTCTGATCAATATAGGGTATAAAAAACTTGGAAAGAAATATACTCCAAAAAACTTCAACTTTTGACACAGACGTCCGAATGTATTATTAAGCTCCACCATCTAACAATTAATATTATCTATATATATTTTTGAATGCTTATATCTTGCTCTGAAAAGTCATTTATTTACCAGTAACTAACTCACCGAAATAAGAGTCGAACCCTCTGTTTGTTGGGAGATATTCCTTTTTATAAAAACCCAGATGCCATTTCCCTACCGCGTGCGTTGAATATCCCGCTTCCTTTAGTTTTTCTGGTAGTATTGGGCTGTCTAGAGGTAAGCCGTTAGGTTGGGCAGGAAAAATTACTCCATGTTGAAGCCCCGTATGTATCTTTTATAAATAAAGACTAAGGATGTCAATTTTGTCAATAATTCATATTCGAATATTTGAAATAAGAATATTCGATAAAATGCATATGTTCTGACTTGATAGGCATATTTTACGATAAATCTAAGTGCTGCTGCACAACAATAAAACCGTGAATCATTGATGAAACACAAACGTGTGTGCATGATACATTATAAATGAAAAAAAGGGAACAGCAAGTACGGAACGAAATTTAAGTAATCAGCCAATACCGTAACAAACAAATTAGCAGACATTTTCGCAACGATTTCTTCACAGAAAAAAGGATATTAAATCCGGAACGCATTACGATCATATATATATATATATATATATATATATATATATATATATATATATATATATATATATATATATATATATATATATATAAACCTTTTGACTAGTACTTTTATTAATACTTTTTTTATACAAAGTAATCAATTTTGACGTTTTAGTCTATTACGTACGCATCCTCACAACGTCAGTGGTCCTGAGTCAACTCATTCCAACGGCAACAAGTTGACTCAGGTCCCCAGACGTCATGAGGATGCGTTTTACGATAATTTTATTTAAGTTATTGTCTTTAAACAAAAATATTAAATCAAGATTTTCTTTCCTGTCTTGTGCTTTTCTTTTCAAATTTGATGTGCAATATATTTACAATATCAAGGACCCATGAATATACCTGATAGCGTCCAGACATTAGTTGACTTCTGGAAGGAGTACATATTGGCTGCACGTAATAATTCTCCAATTTGATTCCCTCTCCGGCAAGTTTATCCAAGTTCGGTGTTTTTATCTCAGAGCCATGATACCCGATGTCGTTGTAACCAAAGTCATCTGCTATCACAAGTAAAATATGCGGTTTCTTATTTTGACTTTTAACGAAGCACGCTACAGCAAAAAGGACTACAACACAGAGTAATGATTTCATATTCCTCTCTTGTTGGCTGCATAGGTGTTTGTCCAACTGATATCTGAAGATAAGTATCAAAGAACACCATTTTATAGGACGTTATCATCGAGTTCCAATCAATCATATGACTCTCGTATGATCTGTCATGATTAACGTAAGTTCTTTTTCAGAAAAGATATAATTGTGGTTGTTGACATAGAGCATAAGCACAACGATGTATCTTTTAAACTTTTCGAAGGTGAAAAAATTGTACTCAATTTTATTAAAGCATGTAACTTTTGTATAATCATTAATTACCCTTTTGTATATTGAATGTATGTAATATAAAATAAAATGTTAATGATTTTTATAAAAGAAAATTAAAAATTATTAGCATGTTTTTAATGCATGTTTAATAAAATGTCATCTTATTTTCAGAAAGAAATGTTGTACCAATGTAACTGGAAAATGAGAGCATACGAAAAGTATTTTTATAGTTGTACTTTTTTCCCAAAGAGCCATGGCTGCTGTCATGCCGACGACTCGACCGATTCAAGAATTTAAAAAAGAAATCACCCGTTTTTATTTATAAGCAAAATTACCTTTTAAATTCAAGAACAACTTATTTGATTTCATTTGTGGACGTGTATTATATTTTCTTAGGTGCAAGTATAACACTCATTTTACATGTTCATTACTCTTATTTCGAATCATCTGTAAGCAAGGAGCTATGAATTTGCAACATTTAATGAAATACATAGTCTAAAACTGCCTTTCCCAAGACACTTTCAAACTGTATCGTGAATATTGGAACTTTTTCAAATTATGTTCATTATAAAACATAAAAAAGTGAAAAAAATATACAAAGAATAAAAACATGCATAACTGGAAAAAGAATGGTCTCGATCTCGGAATCATAACTTTTTTCAGTCCAGTAATTATACCACTGCGCCACGAATTAAAACGATATATATTTCAGACAGATTGCTAAATTTTACAGAAATATGAGTAGGAAAATTGATTAAAAATGTTCAACATTTCAAAGACCAACTTTAACTAAAATTATCTAATCAATATGAAGACTATCTTTAACCTTAATGTAATAAGTTCCAGTCATACGCAAATAGAATTATTCAAAAGTTATTTTCTGGTTAAGAGTGGACTTTGGCAACAGTTTGTCATAGTTCAGGTAGCTACCTTAATACATTAATTAATACATTTGTATATCAAAATAAATGTAATCTTTTGTGACGTAACACTTCTTAAAAATATGTATTTAGTTATTGAACTTTTAGTTCTTTTTGTATTTAGTTACAGTTATTGAACTTTTTATCAATTTTAATCAATCTTATCAATTCATCAATCTTAAAGTTATAAATCACCATGTGCATCACAAGACCATTTAAGAGATCACAGGATTATTAAATTGTTGCTGCATTCTAGGTTTTGCTATGGACATTGTCACTAGTGTGTTGTTACTGGGCACTACAGCATCTAAACACACTGTTTGAAGGTATCCCATATAAGGCAGTGCCGTAGGGGGGGGGGGGGGGTCCATAGAATGCTCAAAGAAGAGCAATCTTGAGTCTTTCTAAAGCAACTTTATGAGTACAGGCTGGAGAACGTCTAGCTTCCAATTGTCTCTATATATGTACAAGCCAGTTCTGGCATATAATACTCATTGACAGCGTCTGAGTGACAGTAAAAGGTTTGATGCGTCAACTTCTGAAAAAAAAATATTAGGAACTGGAAAGTTTATTAAGGTTCTATTATGAATTTCATTAGAACATCAATGTTATCCGAGTGGTTTTTATGTGTGATATGAATTTCATGGGGTTGTCTTTTTATTTCATTAACACTAAAGATTAATCCAAGAAAAATTGATGTACATGTAGCTAATGGATTCTGAAACACTGTTCCCGCTCCATCAAATTTTGGTACATGTACACATGCATAATTATTCTTCCTATAAAAACCTACTAATTTGCATCCTGTATTGTTCTATAGTTAATTTAATATCAGTATTTGATTACCAATTCTGTTATAAAAGGTGAACTTTGAAATTATCAGACAACAATTAAGTCTTGTATTTTAAAGATAAAATATTGTCATCAAATTAAAACTCGCTCATCTTTGTATATCTGATTCAAAGAAATCAAATCAATACTTTAAGTAAAACAGATTTAGAGATATGTACGATTTTTGAATTTGGTATTAATTACATTGCAGAAAACATTTATTGGGCAGCTCAATTCTAAGTAGTTCATTATGAAGTTACAAATTTCATTTCTTTATATATTTCTAGAAAATATGAATGAACCAAAAGTCTCTCACGAGACTGCGGCTGCGATAGATAAACAGAATTAGGTATCTTGGTACATGTATAGTCTATTTGAATGTGTGTCAAGTCTTATCAAATTGAAAAAAAAAACTTGAGGAGTAGCATTTTGAAAGAATTTCAAAGGAATTTCTATTTTTAGTAACCATAGCAACACGTTTGTCAATATCCAAAACCGATACACGGTCCTATTTTCCAAGTATAGTTTACTTGTGTATCCGGTTTTTCAAAAAGTGGTTAACTCTAACCAGATGTTTACATGGTGGTAACCTGTGCATTAAATTTGACCACATGGTCAAGTGTTTTTTTTTTCAGGAGTATGTTAGCGTTTAATCCTGTCTTAACTGCGTTAAGTTTAATCTAACCTTAATGCCTGGGATAAAATCAAAAACAGTGGTTGAAATACTAACATAGTGTTTCAAAATTGCCGTCCGTTTGGCACTTCAACCACCACAGAGAAAAAAAAAATTATGCTTTAGAGCTGCTGCTGACCCCCTACAGGGTTGGTCAGATGAAGAATGAAGAAAACCTAGAAAAGGCCACGAAACGAAGCCACGCTCTGTCTGTGGAACAGCCGATATTAATGGCCCTTTTATTCTATGCTCGCGGCTGTTTTCTACAAGTTAGTGGTGACACAATAGGTAAGTTTGTTTGTTTCTTGTTTAACGTCCTTCTCGAGAATTTTTTCACGCCACTTGCCAGTGGAGGGCTGCATATTTATACCTATACTCGGCACTTAGGGCCATTGAGCAGTGAGGGATCTTTTTCGTGCCAAACCTACTGCGACACGGGACCTCGGTTTATACGGCCTCATCAGAAGGACCGGCTACCCCGTCCCGCAGTGGATTCGACCCCGCGACGTAAGGATCAGGCTCCGGGGCCATAAAACTAAGACGAGCTCGATTTTGATCTCAATCTCATTTTTCCACTATATATTCCTTCAGTAAAAGTGAGACTTAGATCAAAAGTGAGCTCGTCTAAGTTTCATGGCCCTACAAGCCAGGTCCTTACTCCGCGACTCTAGAGCAGACCCTCTAACCACTGCACCACGCGGGCGGCCAATAGATAAGTATAATAAATTATTCCAAAATTTTAATAAATGAACATTAAATCTTACAATCTTTGCGTCTTCGTTAGCCAAGTGTTTAATTTGTATACTCTCCTGCAAATCGGACACTGGCTAAGGAAGATGCAGTGTTTATGCTTGGTGACTTTATCGATCAACGCTTCAACTGCCTTACCTGTAGTATTTGAAAAGAGCACGTTTCTAAGTCTGTGAAAGATGTCACAAATGCGATTGCTGAAAGGGCATGGCAATTATCAAATGGCCAAAAACTGCGAATGCAAGGACGACGATATAGTATTTTACCAGCAAATTTCGAATAATAACAAAGGCCCAACAATTGCTCTTTCTGGCTTTCGGTCTATTTCAAAGTTTGAAATTTAGATCATTATCCTCACATTTACTGTCTGTCGGTTTGATGAAATCTGTCTTTCTTGTCAAGAATTCCTAGGTATTATTCATCGTCTGTAGATTTGATAATATCAACTTTGTGTAACGTTCCAGTTCGACTTTTGAGTTTTAACCAGACATCTTCATCGCCGATATTAATAATTCTGACAGGTATTTTCATTTTCAACCATTCCTAGTTTGTCAATTACCATGTTGTTCCGGGGAAGCGATTCTGACGTTCCATGATTTGCTTAGATTGTGGCTGCATATTCTTCACCTTTTTTATTTTGACGAGTTGAACCAATAACTACTATCATGGAATTTGCGGTGATATTCATTTATGTAATACATATTGTTCAGGTTTGATTTAAATTCCATATATATATATATATATATATATATATATATATATATATATATATATATATATATATATACACACACACACACACCACCCCCTTTTCTGAATAAAATTGCGCAAAACAGTAACTGTGTGAAGTGACATTTATTGAAAATGACAAAGAATATTGTTATGAATTTACATGGGCCTGTACCTTATGCCATCCATGGTATCACGTATGATTAGTATTTTAGTTTAACATGGATATTTACACATTACTACGGAGTTTAGATACGATAATTCAAGTGATAATATGTGTTATATTCCAATTTATTTATAATCATTCCTTTTGATTGAAAGCGAAAGTAGAAACATGCCGTTTCACAAGGACTGAATGTGTTGTTTACATTCATTCGGGATGTTGTTCTCGACCCTTGAGGCATTAAATATGTGTCATTACGCACAACAGTGCTTACCTGTGTTTATTGGATGTTTAACCATCGACCATAAGCGATATTTTATCCACAATCCATATTTTCAGCTCTATTGTGCATCTATTTCCTCCCAAGTTTCATTCGGCTTGAAGTTTCGCACGCGCAACTTTGTTTGTTAGCTGCTCGCTGATTGGATAGCGATACAGCTCTTCTTTGTATATTGATTACAGTTAGACTACGGAGATTAACTTAATAGTAAAATGGCCCAGAAGGTGTTGTTTAACAACCCTTCCAAATAACAGAAGGTGAATATTTCCTTGTAATAGTGTGCACCTTCTCCAGCTACCAGAGTTACAGCGTATTCTCCTTCCGTAGTTCTGTTTACCTTAGCAACGTCTGCTACGCCCCTTCATTTCCATACCGTTGTACCTTCATTTCCAGAGTGGTGCACCTTCTATTTTTTTTTTTTTACACCTTCCGCACTTTATCAGGAAGTTCCAAATATCGCGTTTGTTTTATGTACTTTTATACAATGAATGATATGTTTTTTTTTATACAAAGACTTTCTCTTGTTTTGTTGACTGTTAAAAGGTACAGAGCCCACGTATTATTATAACGAAATGCTGTAGAGTATAGGAAAAGTAATTATTTACACAAGGTTTAATACAAATATCTAGGCACGACATATTTTCGTTACAATATCAACAATACAATAAAAGGGGAGATCACAAAAAACCTATCTTATACAAATGATTTTTACTCATCATAGTAAAGTTGTAGACTGATCTCCCCTTTTACATACCAAAATAATGTAAGATATAACAGAACAAAATGTAAAACATATATGTAGTACAAGCAAAAAGTTAGCGTTCAAAAATAAAACAAATGCCCACAAATAGCAAACAAAGTTTGCCAAAAACGCCGACCGCCAACTTTTACAAAACATGTGTTCTACATTGCAGCAAGTCTCTTGGGATCATTCCCACTCCCTGGAACTGGAAACAATCAAATAGCTTTAAATAAAATCGAAAGCCCCAAATCTATTATTGTATTATGACTCATTAACTGGTATAAGGGGTCATGACACCCCAGAGGTCTCTCCGACCACCCCCTGAAACTGCAAATGTTACATATCTCAAAAATGGTTGAATACTTTTCCCCTTAACCATACATAATCCTTTTCCTTGTGTCATTATGCATTTGATAATACATGTATAAAGGTTATACCCCCTGGTGATCATCCCCACCCCTTGGAACTAGAAATGATCACAATATGACCTGCATCGAAAGTCTGCTTGACCTTTCATTCATGACACCCTAGGGTCAACCCACCCTCTAGAATTAGAAAAGAAAATCATTCAGAGACCCACCATTAAACTTGGTGTACATTTTTGTATAATTATATATTCACATTTTTTTTTATGTCAAAACATAGTACTGGGGTGTATACAATGTACATAAACAACCTGGGACTGGGAAGGGGGAAAAGAGAGAGTGTTATCTCTGCATGGTCTTTAAAAAATTGATTAAAGATCCCTTTTCCCACTTGCCATCATCATTTACTCCTCTTACAACACATATAAATCATAGACTATTGGTTATATTCCTAGCCCTTCCTTGAATCATGAATGATGATATAAATATTTTAAGAATGGTTAAGAGTAAATCAGGTCTTGTACAATCTCTTAAAAATTGATTAAGCTTTGTTACAGAAGCTGAATTGGCTATACCGGTGTAGCTTGATTTTGTAATTCAAAACACCTTGACTTCGCTATTTTATCATACTTTTTTCTAAATGTACAGTTTTTTCAACATGGATAAAAGCGACACTATGGTGACAAAGTATACATTTTCAGCTTTCAAATGTTCTGAAAACAATGCACGAAAAATTGTTTTTCAAATAATCTGTCTCCTTTCGAGCATTTGCGATCACGAGTGTTTAAAGTTTTGCATGGGGCTACATGTATATACCTGGGTTAATCTCTCTCTCCTTTTTTTTCTCTCTGACATCTACTAAGGCCAAAAATTAAAATGTATATGACAAGTTTTTTTAAATTAATAAACTTTTTAGGATTTTACACTGTGTAATTCATACTGCAACTAGAATGATATCCCTCCCAGAAATGTAAAAAATAAATTACTCACAATCTTGCCTTTGATCTATAACTAATTACAAAGAACACAACCAGAAGTCTTCTCTCATGGTTTGTTACAGATTTCACATGGAACTTCCATTGCTCAAGAAAATGTAAGCTCCTGACTTAAATCCTTTAGAAAATGCATGACTTTTAATTTGTTATGTTGTTATGATTGAAAACTACTCACTGTGGACCCTCACCTGACTTGTTGCAGACAAGTTAACATACCCCTCAGGGTATAATCATCATACTTGGGCCTGTACAAAACTGAACCAGTCAGAGTTAAATCATCATGATGTTCGTAAAAATAACAAGAAACTCACTGGAGATGTGATGAATTATTTAGATTATTTAGAAATGCAAAGAATTTTATTTCTAGTCTAAAACATTTCTCATGTTAACAATGTGTAAAACGAATTCTTTTCGTCATTTTTTTTTAACAATTTCTTCTTCTCGAAGGGTCACACCCTCTTTCACGGGGAGATAAGAATGAGAAAATTTATTAAAATCCTCTATTGATATGTTTCATGATATTTGTGTCAAAATATGATACATATCGGGATATTTTAAATGAGTTACAAAATCTTCCTATTGTATTGAAATGAACAAAATATTTTTTACAATTAAGAATAATTAAATTTATTTATTGAAGACATTTATCTGTTGTAAAACAAAATTATTTAAAAAAAGTGGTGTTAATTATTTTGTATTTCATATTTATAGTTATAATATAAGCAAATTCTTTATTTACATGTTAAAACAAAATATTAAGTAAACAAAAAACAAAACAAAAAATAAAAGCAAAAAAAAAAAATAAAAAAAAAATGGAAATTTGTTTGCGATATTTCCATATTTTTACATATACGTATTGATATGTGTATCGTAATCACACAGAATAAATATAGGTATTGATAAATTTTTCCAGCCCTAAAGTAGAGCTACAGTCTCTTTAAAGACTTCTGGTGAATAATAAATTTAAAGTGTTCTGTTGGACTAGTATCCCCGAGGTCATATATCCCATCTCATTTAATAATTGTTCAAGTATCTTCGCAATGTTTCAGTTTCCAACCCTTAAAGCAAATATATTCTTGTTGCACATGACATAATGCTTTGACTACCGATTTTGGTGTGTCGTTTTCTACCCCCAATTGGACCCTAGGGTGTAAAATAAAAATTCTGAAACCTTATTGCAAATCTACAGGACACCAGCAACCATCTTTCAAAAGATAATTTGTCTTTTGCTTAAAATGCAAGAGAAGTTCTGGGAACTAAATTTTTTATTGTTGAAAAAAACCCATCGTTTTTCGACCCCCATTTGACCCCAAGGTGGAAAATGAAAATTCCAAAATCTTATTGCACATCAATATATATATTAGTAATTAAAACCATGCTAAAACTGTTAGGTGAAATGATGTATTTCAAATAACAGGGAAAAATGTTTCATGTTGAATAATGCTTAATCACATTATATAAGATCTGAGGGGTCACCATCCTATCTAAAGGTGTATGCAAAATAATGTTTTTTAATGAAGGTGGATACATTTTGCGCAGTGAATTTTTAATTGTAAATTAACATCTTAATTACAAATGGCCTGCATTTGACTAATATTTTGCCTATCCTAAAAGGGTTTTTCGAATGAAAGCAATACTTGTTAATGAATCCATGCACTAATATACATAAATATAAAGAATTGGTTTGATGTTTGTTAAATTTTAATAGAGGAATGGAGGAAGGTAACTGAGAAAAAAAATGTCTTGTCGAATTTTGAATTTTGCTGTGCATAAAGAAAATTCAAAATGACAACACACTTGTTACCCGAACGAAAAAAAAGAATCATCTTTGTTTATCATTCTTTCTATACTGTTCTGTTCGAAACTTTCAAAAAAGATTTAAAAATTCTACTGACCTTCCCATTGAGCTAAGAAATTTATCTAAGTCGATTGGTAGTATATCACTGGAAGTGAACAAATAGCAGCAGCAAAGCTGGGGATGATAGGAAATTTGCCTGCATGGACTATTTCAGTCAAGTAACGCACTCAACCAAGATTACGCAGATTTTGCTGATCCCGGATTATATTGTGTTCTAAATTTGACTTATTATGAACTTCTTGGTAACAGGGATGGGGTCGATTACTTTCAAAAGTAATTGATTAAATAATTTAAATTATAATTACTTTGGATTTAAAAGTAATCAATTAATCTGATAACAGCTATTTTTAAAGTAATCAATTACATCCGATTACTTTTTCATCATGTAATCATGATTACTTGCGATTACTTTAATTTCTAAAAAGTTTTTCTCCTTATAAATTTTTTTGTTTAATGTTCGAGAAAGAAATGTTTTCTTTGGGTTTTTTTCACAAGACATTACATATTAAAATCAATGCTCATTTAACACACTTTTGAATTGCATTTTATCATCATTTACATTTTAAATGCAGAGTTCAGACAAAATTTGGTTGCATGTCCTTATATATACTGAAAGGAAAAAGAAACGCAAGGTAACATAATATGCGAAAACTTTTTGACTGCATGGCCTTAATTTACTAAAAATGGTCAAAGGGGTATCTTGGTAACTGTGCACTTTCATCGGTGTTCAGAATTACTCAACCGTAAGGAAAATGGTAAAAAGACAAAAACACGTGCATATTGATGATGACAGGTTTGTCAACACATTTTGTTATACTAATTGATGCACTGAAGATAAACACATTGTTTTTCAATATTTAAATTTGAATTTTTCGTAATCATAATGTAGCAGACGGAAGTTCCATGGGGTCTGGCTATTGCGTTGCCCAAGTAAGGAAAACATTGTCCAAGGGGGAATTGTCTTGAGAATTGCTCTAATTTACTGCTAAATCAATAAGCTGACAAAACGCCCAGGGGCCACATCGCTCACCTGATCGCTTTGGCTATGAAAAAGCAGAAATCTGCTCAGTATTGAAAAGTTTAAATATAAAGTGGTTCGGCGGAGGGAAGTATGAGTTGAACAAACTTGAAT